AGGCCAAGGAGGAAGGATTGTGTGAGCCAGGAGTTGGAGACAAGTCTGGGCAACATAGGGAACCCCATCTCTGCAAAAAATTTAAAATTGGCTGGGTACGGTGGCTCACACCTGTAATCTTAGCACTTTGGGAGGCCAAGGTGGGTGGATCACCAGGTCAGGAGTTTGAGACCAGCCTGGCCAACATACTGAAACCTAATCTCTACTAAAAATGCAAAAAATTAGCTGGGCGTGATGGCGCCTGCCTGTAATCCCAGCTACTCAGGAGGTTGAGGCAGGAGAATCGCTTGAACCCCAGAGGTGGAGGTTGCAGTGAGCTAAGATCGTGCCACTGCACTCCAGCCTGATGACAGAGCAAGACACTATCTCCAAAAAAAAAAAAAAAATTAGGTGGTACACACCCATAATCCCAGCTACTTGGGGAAGCTGAGGTGGGCAGACTCTTGAGCCTGGGAGGTTGAAGCTGCAGTGAGCCAAGATCATGCCCCTGCACTCTGGCCTGGGCATCTGGGAGTGACGCCCTGTCTTAAAAAAAAAAAAAAAAATTAGTTGGGCATAGTAGCACACGCCTTTGGTCCTAGCTACTCAGGAAGCTGAGGTAGGAGGGAGGATTAGCTGGGCTAAGGAGGATGAGGCTGCAGTGAGCCATAATTGTGCTACTGCACTCCAACCCAGGTGACAGAGTAAGAGATCCTGTCTCAAAAAAAAAAAGCTTTCTAGTTTTGATGATCATTTTCTAATTTTTCTTGTGCTGCTTGTTCATATTTGAACAAGCCTGCATTCCTGAGATTTTTTTTTGTATATGAGATAATGTTATTTGCAAACAGAGATAGTTTTCTTCGTTTGTATTTTGCTTTTGCTTTTGATATCATCTAAGAAACTCACCTAATTCAAGTTCACAAAGATTTACACCTGTATTTTCTGAGTTTTATACTTTTAACTCGTAGATTTAGATCTTTGATTCATTTTGATTTTTTTTAATAGTGCAAGGTAAGTGTCCAGATTTGTTCTCCTGCATTTGATTTCCAGTTGTCCCATCACCATTTGTCGAAGACTGTTCTTTGCCTATTGAATTATCATGGCACTTTATCAAATTTGAACATACAACATATTTGTGAGAGTTTATTTCTGGGTTCTCTGTTATATTTCATTGATCCGTATGTCTGTCTTTATGCCAGTACTGCAGTGGTTTTCTGAAGTCACAGATTGATAGTTTATAATTGCATATATTTACAGTACAAAGTGATGTTATGATTTGTGACTACCATGTATAAAAATTAAATCTAGATTATTAACATATCCATCACCTCAAATATTTAACTTTGCTGTGAGAATATTTGAAATTTACTCTTATCAATTTTGAAATGTACAGTAGGCTGTTAATAACTGTATTTGCCATGCTGTGCAGTAGATCTAAAAGAAGAAAAGTATTCCTCCTAATATTTTGTACCTTTTGACCTGACTTTCATCTTCCCATTTCCGCTGCCCCTCAGCCTCTGTAACTACCAATTTACTCTGTTTTAATGAGTTTCATTCTTTTAGATTCCACATGTAAGTGAGAACATATGGCATTTGTCTTTCTGTGCCTGGCTTATTTCACTTACCATAATGTTTTCCAGTTCCATCTATGTTGTCAGAAATGACAGAAATTTCTTCTTCTTAAAGACTGAATAGTATTCCATTGTGTATATATACCACGTTTTCTTATTCATTCATCTGTTGATGGACACGTTAGTTGATTATATAACTTGGCTACTGCAAACAGTGCTGCAAAGAACATGGGAGTTCAGACATCTCTTCAACAAACTGATTTCAAATCTTTTGGGTAAATACCCAAAAGTCTGATTGCTGGATTCCACACTGTTTTAATTACTGTAGCTTTGCAAATACATTTTGAAATCAGGAAGTGTGAGTCCTCCAATTTTGTTCTTTTTCAAGATTGTTTTGAATATTCTAGATCCCTTGTATTTCCATATGAATTTTAGGATCAACTTGTCAATTTATGCAGAAAAGCACTTTACATTCTGATAGGGAATACATTGAATCTGTGAATCAGTTTAGGGAATATCATCATCTTAACAATATGAACACAAATGACTTCATTTATTTAGGTGTTTTAAATTTCTAATAGCAATATTTTTATGGTTTTTAATATATAAATCTGGAATTTCTTTTGTAAAATTGATTTATTTCTAAATATCCTTTTTGATGTATGGTCAGTGGGAATACTTCCATAATTTAATTTTCAGGTTGCTCATTACTAATATATAAAAATACAATTGATTATTGTGTTTTTGTTCTGTTTTTTTTTTTTTGTTTGTTTGTTTTTGAGACAGAGTTTTGCTCTTATCACCCAGGCTGGAGTACAATGGCACAATCTTGGCTCACTGCAACCTTTGCCTCCTGGGTTCAAGCAATTCTCCTGTCTCAGCCTCCTGAGTAGCTGGGATTACAGGTACCCGCCACCACGCCCAGCTGATTTTTGTATTTTTTAGTAGAAATGGGACTTTATCTACTATTATCTACTTTATCAGGACCATATTGGCTACACTGGTCCTGAACTCCCAACCTCAAGTAATTCACCTGCCTCAGCTTAAGTAATTCACCTGCCTCAGCTCCCCAAAGTGCCGGGATTATAGGCATGAGCCAGTGTACCCAGCCTTGTTTTTTGTTTTTGAGGCAGACTTGCCCAGGCTATATAGTAACGTGATCATGGCTCACTACAGCCTAGAACTTCTGGGCTCAAGCAATCCTCCGAGTACCTGGGACTTAGCCTCCTGAGTACCAGGGACTTACAGGCTTGCACCACCACACACAGCTAATTTTTAAATTTTTTTTAGAGACAGGGGTCTCACTTTGTTGTCTGGACTGGTCTTAAACTCCTGACCTCAAGTGATTCTCCCTCTTCGGTCTCCCAAAGTGCCGAAGTTACAGGCTTGAGTGCCTGGTCGATTTTTAATTTTGATCTTATATCTTGAAACCCCTCTGATGGTTTTGGGGTGTGTGTGTGTGTGTGTGTGTGTGTGTGTGTGTGTGTGTATTTCATGGGATTTTTTGTATATGAGATAATGTTATTTGGAAACAGAGATAGTTTTCTTCTTTTGTGTTCTGAATGTTTTTATTCTTTTTTTTTTGCTAATTGCCCTGGCTAGAATCTCTAGTGAAATGTTGAGTAGAAGTAGAGAGTGCAGAGGTCCTCATCTTGTTCCTAACCTTAGAAGGGAAGCTTTTAGTCTTTTACCACTAAGTATACTGTTAGCTGTGAGTATTTTATAGAGACCCTTTATTAGATTGAGAACTTTCCTTTTGTATCTCGTTTGTTGAGTGTTTTTATCATGAATTTTATCATGAGTTGGATTTTGTTTAATGCTTTTTCTTCATCAGTTGAAATAATTGTGTGACTTCTGTCCTTTATTCCTTTAATGCGATGAATAGAACTGTTTGATTTTCATATTTAAACAAGCCTGCATTCCTGAGATTAAAGTAAACTCCACTTATTCGTGGTGTGTAATCCTTTATATACCACTGGATTCAGTTTGCTAGTGTTCTGTAGACAATTGTTTGCGACTCTTTTTCATAAGAGGGATGGGTCTGTAGTTTTCTTTTCCTGTCATGTCTTTGGTTTCAGTATCAGGTAATATTGGCCTCACAGAATTAGGAAGTGTTTTCTTCTAATTTTAGGAAGAGTTATAAAGTATTGGTTCACAATACACTTTTTTTTTTTTTTTTAATCGGAATTTTGATCTTGTTGCCCAGGCTGGAGTGCAATGGCACAATCTCAGTTCACTGCAACCTCTGTCTCCTGGGTTTAAGCAATTCTCCTGCCTCAGCCTCCCAAGTAGCTGGAATTACAGGCACACATCACCACACCTGGCTAATTGTGTATTTTTAGTAGAGACAGGTTTTACCATGTTAGGCTGGTCTCTAACTCCTGACCTCAAGTGATCCACCTGCCTCAGCCTCCCAAAGTATTGCGATTACAGGCGTGAACCACCGCGCCAAGCCCACAATACATTTTTTTTTTTTCTGTTGCCCAGGCTGGAGTGCAGTGGCATGATCTCTGCTCACTGCAACCTCTGCCTCCCTAGTTCAAGTGATTTTCCTGCATCAGCCACATGAGTAGCTGGGATTACAGGTGCACCACCATGCCCGGCTTTTTTTTTTTTTTTTTTTTTTTTTTTTTTTTTTTTTTGGTATGTGGAAATGGGGTTTTACCATTTTGTCCGGCTGATCTCAAACTCCTGACCTCAAGTGATCCGCCCACCTTAGCCTCCCAAAATGCTGGATTACAGGTATGAGCCACCACAACCAGCCACAATACACTTTCTATCAAGAAAAAAATATATCTGCCTGCTTCAGATACCCAGCCACCACAACCAGCCACAATACGCTTTCTATCAAGAAAAAAATATATCTGCCTGCTTCAGATACCCAGGTGGTCACTCAGCACCTTGATCCTTGCCTTTGGTATAGGTATTGACTAAATTTCAGACCCTATGGTCCTGACAGGCTTTTTCCAGCTCCATCCCACTGGGGCTGAGAAATTATCAGAACCCCTTCATAAGTACTAATTCCAGTAGTTTCCAGTGTAATGTTGGTTTTGTTTGTCTCGTGTTGTGAGAGCCTTTCTCAGGAAAACATCATCTTAAAGGAGTGTTTTACAGGTGGCTTTGGAGACAGGGATAACATTCAAAGATCATCTACAAAATGTTATTTTGGTAGGTTTTTACTTTATTAAAGTGTGCAGAGCAGAACTGCAGATTCCTTTGGTTTCTTCTTGCATTTCCAACATTAGAAACAGCTGTTTTAAGGTGGTATTTTCCTGGGGGCATCCTGTAGCAACATCTCATTGATTCCTGTGTCATCCTTCTGGGTCCATACCTCAGAACCACACAAATTTATCATCCCAGGCCACAGTAAAAGCAAGAGGTATGGTCTTCAGGCCACCACTGGGCATTATTCTGAACCCCCTTGTGATCCAGCCGACTTCTCGCCCACAGGTAACACGTACACAGACCTCTCGGCCAGAATCTCCAGGGATGACCAGCCCCTCCCCACGCATCCAGATAATCTCCACCGACTCTGCTGTAGCCTCACCTCAGCGCATTCAGGTACCTGCACCAGTCCCACTTGGTTCCAGCTACCTGCCAAAGGCAACCCTGCCTTTGCTGAACCCTTTCCAAAAACAAACCTGCCTAAGGGTTTCACTAAGGAGTTGTGCCTCTTGGACATCAAATACAGTACAACCTCATTGATTCTTTAAAAAAATTAAAGAAACTCTGACGCTTGTTTAATTAACTTACATTTAAAGCAAAAGCCTGAACTGTTGTTTCAGAGTATTGGGATGAAGTACCATTTTATTACGTACTTGCTTCCAAATTGAGAGGCAGTATATCTTAATACGTAATTAACAGCAAGGGCCCCCACTTGAAGTCAAATCCAGTGTCCCACTTAGCTTTTTTGACCTTGGCCAATTAACTTTTTAATGCCTCACTTTCTTCATTTGGAAAATATACATAATAGTACCTGCCTGACAAAGTTATTATGAAGGATCAAAAGGATATTCCTTATAAAATGCTTTGAACAATGCCTGGCACATAACAATGTTCAGTATGTACTAATGATATAATAACTATTATTAATAGTATTGTCATCATTAACTAATCAATATTCACTTATGGGAAGTTGTCTTCCCCAGGGCTCTGAACCTGCCTCTGGCCCATTGAGTGTTTTCACCTCTTTGAACAAAGAGAAGGTAGGTGTATCAAGCTTGTAGACAAAAAGCTGGGAGGAAGGGATAAGATATTGATGACAAAGATTTATTGTTATCTCAGCAAGCTGAATCAAAAAGCCAATTATAACTGTTGATTTCTCTGTTTTTCTCCTTGCAGTTCTATCAGTTTTTGCCTCGTTATGTCTTTTTGGAGAATTGACCCCTTGCTATTTATTTATTTAACAGGATCTCACTATGTTGCCCAGGCTGGTCTTGAACTCCTGGTCTCAAGCAGTCCTCCTGCCTCCGCTTCCCAAAGTGCTGGGATTACAAGCATGAGCCACCATGCCTAGCCACCCCTTTCTTACTATGTAGTACCTCCCTTTATAAGTTTATCTTCCTTGTTCTGAAGTCTACTTTGTCTGAAATTGCTATTGTTCCTCCAGCTTTCTTTTTATTAGTGTTAGTTGCTAGCACAGTATAACTTTCTCTATGCTTTGACTTTTTTCTTTCTTTCTTTCTTTTTTGGAGACAGGGTCTCACTCTGTTACCCAGACTGGAGTGCAGTGGCATAAACACAGCTCACTGCAGCCTCTACCTCACAGGCTCAAGCCATCCTCCCTTCTCTATTTCCCGAGTAGCTGGGACTACAGGCGCATACCACCATGCCTGGACACACACACACACACACACTTTTTTTTTTTTTTCTGTATAGGGGGTTTCACCATGTTGCCAAGGCTGGTCTCAAACTCCTGAGCTCAAGCAATCCACCTGCCTCAACCTCCCAAAGTGTTGGGACTACAAATGTGAGCCACTATGCCTGGTTGACTTTTTTTTTTTTAAGAGAGTCTTGCTCTGTTGCCCAGGCTGAAGGGCACTTAAATTTACTGTTCACAGGATCGTAGGGCACTACAGCCTTAGACTTCTGAGCCCAAGCTATCATCCTGCCTTAGTCTCTCAAGTAGTGGGGACCACAGATGTGCACCACTGTCAGCTGCTCCATCCCTTTATTTTGCATCTGTCTGTGTCTTTATACATAAAATGGGTCTCCTGTAGGCAGTATGTACTGGGGGAGCTTGATTTTTTTCCTTTTTTTTTTCCCCTATTTTCTATATAATTTCACAAGGGTCTTGTGTTTTTACCCAGCTGACAATCTATCTTTTCATTGGTGCATGTGGATCATTCACATTTAAAGTGATTATTGATATATTTGGATTAATATCCTCCATCTAGGCCGGGCACAGTGGCTCATAACTGTAATCTCATCACTTTGGAAGGCTGAAGAAGGCCGATCACTTGTGCCCAGGAGTTTGAGACCAGCCTGGGAAACAAAGTGAGATTCCGTCTCTACAAAAAAAAACTAAAAATTAGCCAGACATGGTGATGCATTCCTATAGTCCCTACTTGGGAGGATTGCTTGACTCCAGAAGGTTGAGGCTGCAGTGAGCTGTGATCATGCCGCTGCACTCCATCCTGGGCCACAGAGCAAGACCCTGTCTCAAAAAAATAAATAAAATAATGATTCAAAGCTGTTCATACCAGCTAAAATTTATACTTAAGCAAAAGATTTGTTTATCTTTTTGCAAAGATCAGGACTTCTTTACCTTTTTGCAAACCTTTTTTAAAGAAGGTTCCTTTTACCCTTTTTTTTTTTTTTTTGAGACGGAGTTTCACTGTTGTTACCCAGACTGGAGTGCAATGGCACGATCTCGGCTCACCGCAGCCTCCGCCTTCTGGGTTCAAGCAATTCTCCTGCCTTAGCCTCCCAAGTAGCTGGGACTACAGGCGCGCACCACCATGCCCAGCTAATTTTTTTGTATTTTTAGTAGAAACGGGGTTTCACCTTGTTGACCAGGATGGTCTCGATCTCTTGACCTCGTGATCCACCCACCTTGGCCTCCCAAAGTGCTGGGATTATAGGTGTGAGCCACCGTGCCCGGCCCCTTTTACCCTTTTTATTTTTAGTCAGTCTCTCTGCTATTATCTTTCAGTATGCGTTAATATACTCTGACCTATCTTGTAAACTTTATATATATTCTATATGTAAATTCTATATATACTATAAGAAATTGTGTTTATGTATATGAGTGAGTAGGTGGGTGGGTATGTATATATAAATAGTATAGGAAATCTGAAGAGCTGGTTTTGGATGGGCAGACAGAACCTTGAAGGGATTCTCATTGTACTCAGAAAGAAATATGAACATGGAGCAGGGTTATCCCACCTTCCTCTCAAGGCTCCTGGGCCATGCTGGTTGTCCATGGGCCTGATAGCAGTTCCCAAGAGTTTGTTCCTCCCAGGGCTTTTCCATATGCCAGAAAATTTCTCTCTCTTGGGAAAACTAAAATTTATCTGGCTGCTGTCTTCTCAGTCTTGAGTCTGGTCTCTTTTTTTTTTTTTTTTTTTTTAATTGAGATGGAGTTTCACTCTTGTTGCCTAGGCTGGAGTACAGTGGCACAGTGTCAGCGCACTGGAACTTCTGCCTCCCAAGTTCAAGTGATTCATCTGCCTCAGCCTCCCAAGTAACTGGGATTACAGACATCCGCCACCACACCTGGCTAATTTTGTATTTTTTTTAGTAGAGACAGGGTTTCATGATGTTGGACAGGCTGGTCTCGAACTCCTGACCTCAGGTGATCCACCCTCCTCAGCCTCCAAAAGTGCTGGGATTACAGGCGTAAGCCACCATGCCACCCAGCCCAAATCTTGTCTTAAACGTCACCTTGTCACAGAGGTTTTCCCTGACCTCTCTTTCTAAAGTTAAGTACTTTTGTTATTCAAGGTTACCCCAACCTGATCTTTTCCCTCATAAAATGTACCATAGATTGAAATTGTTTACTGACTGGTTTGTTTCCTTGTTTATTGCCAGTCTCTTCCACTGAGCTAAAAGCTTAATGAGGGCAGGAGCCATCTTCATATGACACTGCCTAGCACACTGCCTGACAAAGTAGACCCTCAGTAAATATTTGAGGAATGAATGAAAGAGTGAGTAAGCCATGGTAAAAAGTCTTAACTTTTTCAACGGGAGCAATTTGAAAAGATGAAAGGGTTAAGACAAGGCTGAATAAGGAAAGGAATATGCAGAGTTTAGAGGGAAGAAATACTTTACCAAGGTCCTGTCATGTTCTGGGCAGTGTACCAAGCAGTTTCACACACGTATCATTTCACTTTCCTAATCATCTTTTTCATAGACATATAAATGGAGCTCAAGGGCTTATGTAACTGCTTCAAGTTGACAGAGCTGGGAAGTAGTAAAGCAAGCATTCTGTTCATGTCTGTAGCCACCAAACCCTGTCTCAGGTGTTTACAGTGAAAGAGGTGGCAAGGTGAAGATAGGGGTGGACCTTAGCTTAGTAAAGTCAGTCCTGCTATAATCTGACATGTGTGTTCCTGAAAATTCCCACACTTTGCCAGGATTGTGTAGTGAAAACCACGGGACTATTGGGAGAAAATGAGATTAGTGGCACAGTACTCAAAAACCTTGCCAGTAACACATTAAAAAACAGATAGTGAAACTAATAAAACCTGCAAGTGGTTAAATACATAGTGACTGTAATAAATACGGTACTTTACCTTGAAAAAACCCTGCAGTTTCTTTGTGGAGGTAGGTACAGGGAGGATTGCATCTCATGAGTTAATTGAATTGTGGACGCAGGGTGACCTGAAATCACCAAATAGATTAAATGTGACCCATACCATGTGCACTGAGTATTCCTGCATGGATTACTTCAGCTAAATGTTGTTTTCTGTTTACCTAGTGTTACTCATGGAAGAAACCATGAGTAAACACAAAATCTGGAATTATATGCAAATTATTCACTAACATATCAATCTTGCTCAACAAGTTCACCTTTTTACAACAAGCATTATAGCAGCTCTGATTGTGTAGGTAGGCTATTGGGGGCCTTAAAAATCACAGAAAACATGACATTACTCCCTTTCCCCCAAGTTGTTAGAGTTCACACTCAGGAAGTTAAGAACTTTTTTTTTCTTTTAAAGACAGAGTGTTGCTCTCTTGCCAGGCTGGAGTGTGTAGTGGCACAATCATGGCTCACTACAATCTCTGCCTCCTGGGTTCAAGCAATTCTCCTGCCTCAGCCTCCCGAGTAGCTGGGACTACAGGCATGTGCCACCATGCCCAGCTAATTTTTGTATTTTTAGTAGAGACAAGGGTTTCACCATGTTGGCCAGGATGGTCTCAATCTCTTGACCTTGTGATCTGCCCACCTCAGCCCCCCCAAAGTACTGGGATTATAGACCTGAGCCACAGTGCTCGGCCTGGAAGTTAAGAACTTTTGTTGCAAGTAAAGAAATTAAATACAGTTTGCTTCTTGTATTAGTTTCCCAGGCGATCACAATAAATTACCACAAACTTGGTGGCTTAACACAATAGAAATTCATTTTTCCCAACCTTCTGCTGGCCAGAAGTCTGAAATCAAGGTATTGGCAGGGCCATACTCTCTGAAGGTTCTAGGAGAGTGTCCTTCCTTGCCTCTTCCTAGCTTCTGGTGGGTCCCAGCAGTCCTTGGTATTCCTCGCTTGCTTGTAGCTGCATCACTCCAATCTCTGCCTCCATGGCCACATGGACTTGTTAAAAGGACACCAGTCATTGAACTAGAGCCCACCCTAATGTAGTATGACCTCATCTTATCCTGATTACATTTGCAAAGTCGGTACTTCCAAGCAAGATCGCATTAATAGATACTGGGGATTCTGGCTAAAATATATCTTTCCGTGGGGTACAGTTCTATACACAGTACCTCTCCACAGCTGACTTAAATTTTAATGAGCTTGGATATATCCTTGCAATGTTTCCTCTAGGTCATTAAATAGGAATCTATCTGTTAGTGTTTGTTAACAAGGTCTTACCTAATGGTCACCTTTGTGTTCCAGTAGGATATTTGGGAAACTTTTTTTTCTGCCTGCATTTTAAGATTTTTCATGGAGATGATCTCTCTAAATGAAGGATACAGATGTCTTAGGAGGGTGAAGATTAAGAAACACAAAAATTGGCCAGGCGCAGTGGCTCACGCCTGTAATCCCAGCACTTTGGGAAGCTGAGGTGGGCAGATCATGAGATCAGGAACCATTCCAGCCAACATGGTGAAACCCCATCTCTACTAAAAATACAAAAAAATTAGTAGTGGCACATGCCTATAATCCTAGCTACTCAAGAGGCTGAGTAGTGGCACATGCCTATAATCCTAGCTACTCAAGAGGCTGAGGCAGGAGAATCAATTGAGCCAGAGTTGGAGGTTGCAGTGAGCTGAGAATGCGCCACTGCACTCCAGCCTGGATGACAGAGAGAGACTCTGTCTCAAAGAAAAGATAAGAAACCCCCAAATTAGAAGTAATTCATTAAATTTTTATGAGTGTGAGTTTTTGAGAAAAAAAAGAAAATAATCTAGCTGGGTGCATTGGTTCTCGCCTATAATCTACTTTGGGAGACAGAGCACAAAGATCACTTGAGCCCAGATGTCTAAGACCAGCTTTGGCAACATAGTGAGACCGCATCTCTACAGAACAACAACAAAAAAATTGCCAGGCATGATAGTGCTTACCTGTAGTCCCAGCTACTCTAGAGGCTGAGATGGGAAGATGGCTTGAGCCCGGGGATCAAGGCTGCAGTGAGGCAGGATCGTGCCACTGCATTCCAATGTGGGTAACAGAACAAGACCCTCTCTCAAAAAAAAAAAAAAAAATTCTGAGCCTTTGGAGTATATTATATACAGCCACTAAGAGCTGCTGTCCCTGTCTGGAACCAGTCACTTCTGCCTCCCAACACTGTACCCTGGCCCCTTACCTGCCATATCTCAACCATAGTGACTAGAGAAGAGCGTAAAAGGAAATGACATGCTAGTTACCTGTGTGTTCTCAGGCACAGCATGGGATCATCTCTGGACACAAAAGGGCAGAGGAATTACTAGTGTTGCCTTGGTTTTAGTTGGTAATGAAGACCCTGTCAATCACATAACTATTTCATTTCTTAACAGGGAAAATGGTTTAGGAAGGAAGAATTGATAGACATGAGCTGGTATTGGTAGCTCATGACTGTAATCCCAGCACTTTGGGAGGCCAAGGCAGAAGGATTGCTTGAGCCCAGGAATTTGAGGCCCGCCTGGGCAACAAAATGAGACTCAATCTCTACAAAAAAAATTTCTAAGACAATTAGCTGGATGTGGTGGCATGTGCCTTTGGTCCCACCTACACAGAAGGCTGAGGCAAAAGGATTGCTTCGGCCCAGGAGGTTGAGACTGCAGTGAGCCATTTTCATCCCACTATACTCCAGTGTGGGTGACAAAGCAAGACTCTGTCTCAAAAAAAAAAAAAAAAAAAATGATGGACATTTGACTCACAGAGCTCAAGTTTATGGGGGCTTCCAAAGGCCAACTTGTTTATCTAAGGCAAGAACCCCTTCTTTGGCAGCTGAGACTGTGTCAACTAGCTCGTGTCTGCAATCTTTCAGTTGAGGAAAGTTTTTTTAAAGATAATTCTTTTCACAAGGTTTTCTGTCTCATGTTTTATGTGTCTGGGGGACTCTGAACACAGGTTGTAACAATGAAAGATTCTTCCTTTTATTTCCTCCAAATCTGTTCTCCTTGAGCATTAAAGATCTTTTGCCCCTTTAGTGGGAAAATATGATATACTGGGGTTTGTCCCACAATCAGCTGAGAATTCATTCTTGCATCTGTTGTTCTATTGTGCTGTCCTCTCTGGTCTTGCACTCAGCTGTGTCCTGTAGCTTTGCCACATTTTTTCACAGTTTTCTCTTGTGTTTCATTCAAGTTTTTGCTCAGTGTCACTCACTCGGAGAGGTCTTTCCTCCTACAGATGCATCCCAGCCTTCTTGCCAATGTCATGCTTTCTCTGTTTATTCTGCTTTTTGTTTTCTCCAGGGCATTTACACTGACTGATATTCTTTATTCATATTCATTGTTCACAATCTGTTTCCCCCACTAGAAGTTTAGTTTCATGAGGGTGGGGCCTTTTTTTGTTCACGTCACTATTCCTAGTACCTCGAACAGTGCTTGACTCATAGTGGGTGCTTAATAAACATTTAAGTGATTGAATCTTTTCTTACCTGTGTCATTTTATTTTGAGCCAGTCAACACTGTCTTACTTTCCATATTGCAATTAGCAAAACTGTTGTGTTAGACTATATCAGTTTTTTGTCTCAACCTTGGAGTTCCATTTCTTTTTTTGTTTGTTTGTTTTTCTTTGTGAGATGGAGTTTCCCTCTTGTTGCTCAGGCTGGAGTGCAGTGGCGAGATATCGGCTCACTGCAACCTCCACCTCCTGGGTTCAAGCGATTGTCCTGCCTCAGCCTCCCTAGTAGCTGGTACTATAGGCAACCACCACTACACCCAGCTAATTTTTGTATTTTTAGTAAAGATGGGGTTTTATCATGTTGACCACGCTGGTCTTGAACTCATGACCTCAGGTTATCCTCCCACCTCAGCCTCACAGTGCTGGGATTACAGGTGTAAGCCACCATGCCTGGCCAGAGTTCCATTTTAAAAGTCTGTCAAGAGGTGGTACAGATGCTAGATCTGCCCATAAATGTGCTGTGCTGTTCTGTAGGAAAGTGAGTTCCAGCCAGCAACATAGCACGTTTCCCCTCGCCCAGCACAGCAGCAGCAGCAGCTCAAGAGTCCTCTGCAGTAAGGGTGTGCTGGTTTCTTGAGGGAGAGGTGGCAGTGCTGCAAGCCAGGAACACCTGGCCTAGGAGAGAGGCAGGATGGGGATTAGAACAACTTCAAAGAACTTCATGAGCAAGAATAAGAGTCATTCTTGTCATAGCAACTATTTTTGTGGTGACTGATACAATTAGACAAGGACTGTGTAAAGAGCAAGACTTATCCAGAGTCAGCATCCACTACCTTCAGTGCATCCTATAATCTTTTATTGTCTTATTTCGTTGTGCTGGCCCTGGGATATAGCAGTGAATCAGATGTAGTTGCTATTCTTAAAGACCTCAGAGTCAGAAAGTGGGAGTGAAGGAGATGGGTGGCCAGTCAATGGTGAGTTGAGTGTGTTTCAGCAAGGGTCTCCCTGTAATTCTCTCAACTTAAGGCAATATTTTTTTCAGGACCTTTTAGAAAGAGGCCATCTTTGAAGCAATCATTTCCAGGTTTTTGGATTTTGCAGATCAGTAGCATTTCAAAAGAATAAGGATTGCCTACATTTTTTGTTAAGTGAATACAAGGACTTTTCAAAAAAAACCTATCATCTATTATTTATTATTGCCTTCATTTCATAAAAGAAAAGGCATTTTAATTCTACAAACAGAATAGTCCTAGACTAAAATTAGCTTTATAAAAATTTGTGCCTGAAAAACTCACTAATATGTTTTATATTTCTCCACCATGAACTGGTGAAACTGCATGTTAGACAGCATTAATTCAAGGGCTGGTGTTTGGCAGTCACCACTTTGAGCACGACCTGCAAATGCATGGGTCTTGTGACACTCCATGAGAGCAGCCTCCATGTTGTGTCTTACAGATTGTCACAGACCAGCAGACAGGACAGAAGATCCAGATAGTCACCGCAGTGGACGCCTCTGGATCCCCCAAACAGCAGTTCATACTGACCAGCCCAGATGGAGCTGGAACTGGGAAGGTGATCCTGGCTTCCCCAGAGACATCCAGTGCCAAGCAACTCATATTCACCACCTCAGACAACCTTGTCCCTGGCAGGATCCAGGTAAGGCCTTTGAACAGGTATTTGTTTCAGCATTTCTGCTGTTGAACTTGTTCTTACATCTGCTTTGGAGGCCAAATCTATCCATGGAAGGTTCTGTGGGGACCTGCAAACGTGGCAAGTTGCTGCTTTGGCCAGAGTAATAAACCAGCAACCCAGTGGCAAGGCCCAGAAAACAGTGAACTATAACACTCAGGATGGAAGTACAACCAGGAAGTCAGTGGCCACAGGAGACTAGCATGAGAAAACTGGCACTGAGGCCACTGGAGAATTTTTCTTACTTAAGACCACTAAGTGGCAGCCTTTGATATTTTAAAGGCACCACCTAGGGCTGACTACAGCCAGCGAAGAACTGACTTGTCCAGATCATCAGGTCTGTGGCGCCAGCTTTTCATTCTGTCTTTACGTGCCACTTGTGTACTAATCGCTCTGGGACTCTGAATTCTTATCTCTATCTCTGCCGTGGTTCCTCCTGCTCTGTCAAGGTAGGATGGGGTTGAGGACAGTCTATATCAAGAAAAACAACAAGCACTGAAGGAAGGCAGGGTTGTTGCTCAGCATGAGGCTGGGAAGCATAGAATCTCCAAACCCAACACCTACAGAGCAGAGACTCAAGGTCAGTATCCCATGATGGCCAAACACGGAACATGCTTTGTCAAGGTTGTGTTTAATTTTTTTTTCCATTTTTCATAAAATACGCATAACATAAAACTTACCATCTTAACCAACTTTAGGTGTACAGTTTAGTGACATTAAACAGATTTACATTGTGCCACTATCTAGCTCTGTAACTCTTTTCATCTTCCTAAGCTGAAACTCTGTACTCATTGAACAGTAACTCTCCTCTCCCCCTCCCCCAGCCCCTGGTAACCACCATTCTACTTTCTGCCTTCATGAATTTGGCTACTTTGGGTACCTCATATAAGTGAAATCAGCCTTTTTGTGACTGGCTTGTTTCACCCAGCATACAGGTGAAGCTTCATCCATGTTGTAGCATGTGTCAGAATTCCATCCCAAGGCTGAGTAATATTCCACGGAATATATAGATCACATTTCTTGTATCTCTTCATCTCTTGGTGGACATGTAAGTTGCTTCCACATTTTGGCTGTTGAATTAATTAATGCCACTAAGAATCTCTGTTTTGGGTGGGGATGTTCTATGAAGAAACTTAAGGAAGGGAAGAATTTTTTTGTCTTCTGATTGAGCTGGGATAGAACACCAACATGTTCAGCTTTTAGATCTGTTCTTTTAGACACCTTACACTGCACTTAATAAATACTGTCTCATCCTTCCTTTCCCGGAGTACGTTGTGATCGTCTGAAATCAGAATTCCTTCCTCCTTCTTTAGAGTACTCCTTGTCTGTGAAAGAATGGCTGTGGATTTTGTTGCATGTTTCACAAGAGGTGATTCTACATAATGGTTTCTGTATGTGTTCCTACCATGTATAAATCATTTTAAGGCTTATTGTTGGCTCAAATTTCAAGTATATTTTAAAATAATAGCTATTTTTACTTTCTCATATTGATACCAGTTACAATATTCTCCCAGATGAATTGCTTCACCTAGAAAATCACCACAAATGAGGGAAAGGAAGATAGCCGGTTTCAAAGCTCATTTGTTCTCGTTAAACTCACCACCACCTGCCTCAGTGGGAGTCCTAGTTATTTAATTAATAAAGTTTGGTTATTTCTCTGCCAGTACACCTCTTTGCATACATTCAAGTTGTTTTATGGGAAGAATCTTAAATATCTATATTTTGAAGCATCTGTGTGTGATTCCCCATACAGCCTGCAATTTTGGGTGGCTGTAGTAGCGAGATAGTAGAGTAGATAAGTGGAGACCAGCGCCTGACCCTGGGAAACCACCCACCTGATGAGCAGTCCGGATGAGTGGCAAAGCCATTCTGGATGTCAGATTAAGTTGTCATCTGGAGTTTTCCCAGTTCTCTCCAGAGTTCTCCTATTTAGAAACCCAACATTGAGAATTTATAGTTAAACTTTACTTTGCTTAGTGATCTGGTTTTCTTGTTTTTTGAGATGAGGTCTCACGTTGTGGCTCAAGCTGGAGTACAGTGGTACAGTCTTGGCTCACTGCAACCTCTACCTCCCAGGTTCAAGCGGTTCTTCTGCCTCAGCCTCCCAAGTAGCTGGGACTACAGGCGCATGCCACCACACCCAGCTAATTTTGTATTTTTAGTGGAGATGGTGTTTTACCATGTTAGCCAGGCTGGTCTCAAACTCCCGACCTCAGGTGATCGATCCATCCACCTCAGCCTCCGAAAGTGCTGGGATTACAGGCATGAGCCACCGCACCCGGCAGTGATCTGGTTTTTAATTGGCACCCCTGTTTATTTCCTGGTTTCTCTCAGATTGTCACGGATTCTGCCTCTGTGGAGCGTTTACTGGGGAAGACGGACGTCCAGCGGCCCCAGGTGGTAGAGTACTGTGTGGTCTGTGGCGACAAAGCCTCCGGTATGTAATTCCAGGTTATGATGGCACTTAAGGGCCAACATCATGAAGTAACAGTTGTGAGGTGGGGTGGTAGTTAATTTAGAAAGACCATTTTCTGTAGGTTTGTAGGTTTCAAATATGAATTCCACTTTTCTTACTGGGGTAATGATGTAAATAAATAAGGCAGTTTGTCAGATAATTAGACATCAAAAGGAAAAGTCAAAAAACGATTTCTATGATTTGTAAATCTTGGTTGAGTGTGTAGTATGCATGTGCTGCTAAGAACATATTCTTTAATCTCATTAACATTTGTACAGCACTTTACTATTTTACAAGATATATAATTTGTATAATCACCCTTCATCCTAACTGTAACTATCTCTGTCATCCCCTCAGTATGACCCACTAAATACTGCTTTAATGAAGCAGGAGCAGGCATGCGATTCCAGATAGAATCCCAGGATCAGAAAAGGCCCCACAGAGGCAGTCACATCTCAGAGCCTTAGTGATTATGTATACGGTGGTTAAAGCAGGAGGAGGGCATTTCAGTTAGTAGAAACAGGGCCTAGAGTTTAAGGTCTATACCCATGGTGTCCTTGGGAGAGAGCTTGTAGGGTTCCGTGATTACAATTGGGTAAAGTGAGACTGAAGAAGATATCTGGCCCCAAAATTCAAATGTTGGCCTGCTTGTCCCAGGTGGGGATCCATAGAAGGTTAGTGAGGCAGACAGGAAGGAATGGAGAAGTATTTGATAAGAACACAGTACCAGGGCACAGATCTGTGTTCCACTTTATTATCTGGTCACAAAATTCACAGGAACGTTGGACACTTTGTAGTCCTACTTTTTTGTTTGTTTGCTTGTTTGTTTTGTTTTTTAAAAAGGAGGCTGGACCAAGCCTGTTAGTAAGACTGTCCCAGGCAAGCATGTATAAAAGATCAGAAGCTCCAATTTCCTTTCCGTGGTGGTGACACTATTTCTCTGCTAGTGGTGCCTGCCTCTGCTCCCATCCTTTGTCTTGGTAAACCCAGCCCATCCTACCCCTTCTCTGAAGCCCTCACCTACCCCAATAGGCAGATAGACAGTGCTGCCTCTGATTCAGATTTCCCTTTCCTACAGATTTCTCTAATTGCTTGTTGCATACTCATGTAATTCACTCTTTAGAGGCCTGTCTTCCTCATCAGAATGACAGAGCAAAAACCATGTCTTACCATCTATCTCTGTATTCCTGTCTTCTTGCTCGGTAAGGAAAGGCACTCTGCAAACTTTTGAACAAATAAATGAAGTATGAATATAACAAAAGGGCCACAGAATCTGCTTGACTTCCCCATTTGTCAGTCTTCTTCTGAGCTTAAAGGAAAGGCTTAGTGTCTTGGTGCCAGTCTCCTGATATTAATGTCACTCAAAGGGATAGAGAACTCAAGGAAATATACTGCAAAGAAAGGAAAAACAATATTACAGAAGGCACTTTACCACAACTATTCTTAAAAGAATAAGACTGTTACTCCAGTTGCACACTTGGAAAATGGTTTTGCATTCTAGAGCTTAGAACAATGGGATTCTCTGTAGCCGCCATAAATGGTAATCCTGTGAAATGTATCCTCCTTGGCAAAGTAGCTATGAAATTGGATTATACAAACAAGACAGAATCAAAAGAGCATGTCCGTGGTCAGTCTCAGCTGGAAACAAATGAGGGATAATGTATATGAAAGTACTTTCTGAATAGCAAAACCAGACTGAAGGAGGGGCCCTTTTTTTGTTGTTTGTTTGAGACAGAGCCTCACTCTATCACCCAGGCTAGAGTGCAGTGGCACAATTTCAACTTACTGCAGCCTTCACCTCCTGAGTTCAAGTGATTCTCCTGCCTTAGCCTCCCGAGTAGCTGGGACTGCAGGTGCCCACCACCATGCCTGGCTAACTTTTTGTAGTTTTAGTAGAGACAGGGTTTCACCGTATTGGCCAGGCTGGTTTCAAACTCCTAACCTTGTGATCTGCCCACCTCGGCCTCCCAGAGTGCTGGGATTATAGGCATGAACCACTGCACCCAGCTGGGGGTACTTTTTAATGTCATTGATAGTTAAAAGTTGGAGATCTCATGCAGACTGTATACATGACAAGGGTTTAATATCCAGAATATATAAGGAACTTAACAGAAAAAAAAAAATTTTTAATGGGCAAAATATCTTAATAGACATTTCTCAAAAGAAGACATACAAATGGCCAACTGTTATATGAAAAATGCTCAACATCACTAATCCTCAAGGAAATGCAAATCAACACCACAGGAGGTGTACCACTTCACTCCAATTAGGGTATCTATAATCAGGCTGGGCTTGGTGGCTCATGCCTATTATCTCAGAACTTTGGCGGGCCAAGGCAGGCAGATCGCATGAGGCCAGGAGTTTGAGACCAGCCTGGATAATGTGGCAAAACCCTGTCTGTACTAATTTTTGTTATTTCTGTAAGATAATATCTTTTGGCAGGGTGCGGTGGCTCAACGTCTGTAATCCCAGCACTGGGAGGCTGAGGCAGGTGATCACCTGAGGTCAGGAGTTTGAGACCAGCCTAGCCAACATCTCTACTAAAAATATGAAAATTAGCTGAGTATAGTAGTGGGTGCCTATAGTGGCTGGAGAATCACTTGAACCCAGGAGGCAGAGGTTGCAATAAGCTGAGATTGCACCACTGTACTCCAGCCTGGGCAACAAGAGCAAGACTGTGTCTTAAAAAATAAAAGAAATTTTTAAAAAGATATACATGTGTTATCAGATTTTATATTTTATAAAATCTTACAAAAATTCCTTGTAGAGAAATTATGTGAAGGGTGTGGCCAGTATAAGAAAAAAGTATTTAAGATTTTATTTGATAAAATCATATAAAAATACAAAAATTAGCCGAGTGTAGTGGCGCATATCTATAATCCCAGCTACTCAGGAGGCTGAGGCATGACAGTCACTTGAACCCAGCAGGTAGAGGTTGTAGCAAGCTGAGATCACGTCACTGCAGTTCAGTCTGAGTGACTGAGACTCTTGTCTCAAAAAAAATGTTTACAGTTAAAAAGACAAACGAAAAGAAGTGCTAGGGAGGATGTGGAGAAAAGGGAACACTTAAACATTGTCGGTGGGATTGTAAATTACTACAGCCACTATAGAAAACTGTATGGAGATTCTTCAAAAATTAAAAATAGAACTACCATATGATCCAGAAATTCACTACTGGATCTATATCCAAAGAAAATAAAATCATTATGTTGAAGAAATACCTGCACTCCCACATTTATTGCATCACTATTTACAATGGCCGAGATGTGTAATCAGCCTAAGTATCCAACAGCAGATGAATGGCTAAAAAACATTGGTATGTATACACAGTGGAATACATAAAATTGAATGAAATCCAGCTATTTGTGACAACATGGATGAATGTGGAGGAGGACATCATGTTAAGTGAAATAAGCCAGACAAAGACAGATACTACATGATCTCATTCATATGTGGAATCCTTAAAAAAAAAAAACTTAATACTATAGAAACAAGAGAGTAGCACGATGGTTATCAAGACTGGGGAGGGGAAAAGTGAGAGATGGTTGAGAAAGACTGACCAGCTGCTACAAGTTATAGTTAAGTAGTAGGAACAAGTTCTGGTGTTCTATTGCACTGTAGCCATGGCTAACAATAAGATATTAGATATTATAAAGTATCTAGAAGAAAGGCTTTTGAATGTCCTTACTACAAAGAAATGATAAATGCATAAGGTGATGGTCACTCTACCTGATTTGATCATTATACAACAAGTGAATGTATTGAAACATTGAATTATACCTCATAAATATGAACAATTACAATGTATCAAAAATAAAACATTAGAGACACCAAAGTAAACAAGATTAGAAAAATAATAAATGTGTTCCTAGAACTGTATTTCTAGAAAGCTCTGAGTAAGCTGGCCCAGCTGAGCCATATGGTAACCCTCCTTTACTGTAGGCTTCAGCAGTCACAGTCTCCATGCTTCTTGTGACTATCCTGCTTCCCCGCAGGAGGTTTAGGGACCAGGACGTGAATCAGAGGGGTTAAATGCAGGAGTGAGACCCTCTGTACCAAAGCCACACATGCACGTCTGCTATGTGCCACTCTTGGCAGAACAGGGGATCTGAGCCGCCTCACAAGCCCAGACCTCCAGAATTAGGACCCAGGTGTGTTCAAGTGGACAGTAGAGTTCAGCCATCACCTGTGAGCTCCTACTGTATGTTAGACCATTTGTATACTAAGAACACTAAAGTCATGCCATCTGCCAGATGCCATATAACCTGTCTGAGCTTCATTATTTCCATCATAAACTTAGAAGGCTACTTGAAAAACTGTAGAGAAATTATGTGAAGGGTGTGGCCAGTATGCTAAATGATCAGGCCACATGGCACCTAACAGTGTATGCACCCATCACTTTCATAAGACTTGTTCAGAAACTCTGACAGATCACCCTTTTGGTGAATGCACAAAAATAGTCACAAAATATCTGTGTATTTCTCCTGTTTCAGGCCGTCACTATGGGGCTGTCAGTTGTGAAGGTTGCAAAGGTTTCTTCAAAAGGAGTGTGAGGAAAAATCTGACCTATAGCTGCCGGAGCAACCAAGACTGCATCATCAATAAACATCACCGGAACCGCTGTCAGTTTTGCCGGCTGAAAAAATGCTTAGAGATGGGCATGAAAATGGAATGTGAGTAACAGTATTTAAAAACCACATGAGTTAACAACAGAGGGAGAGAGTAAACAAGAGGCCACTAAATAAGGTTTCTATACCTGGCCTTAAAATACTTTAAGAAAAAAATACCCGTCAGGCTTTATTTTGGTTTACCTCGTGGGTTAGCTAGGTGATTCAGAGCCAATGCTGTGGGGGTTGGTCTGTTCTGCTGCTGGTGTGTGTGTGTGGGGGTGTGTGTGTGTGTGTGTGTGTGTGTGGAAAGTCTTATTCCAGATGCATCAGGAGGCAGCTTTGTGGAGTAGGGTGAACACAGGCTTTGGAGGAAAGCTGATACCAACACTACCAGGTCTGCCAATAAGAGACAGCTATGAATTTGAGGACATACATAGCCTCTCAGCCACAGGGTCCTCATCTGTGATCTAGAACCCCTCACCTTACTTATATATTGCTCCTGAGGATTACATGAGCCTACTGTTACTTACTGTCTTCTTAGCCCCTCTACTTTCTTTCAGCACAAGGCCTTCTGCTGACTCTGTGTAGCTGGGGTTCTAAAGAGAAAGCTATTGCTTCTGGATGTGTGGGGCAACCAGGGAAGGTCTCAGGCCCCTCCTTTCCACTTCTGTAGCCAGAATTTTGGGGGTTAGGAATTTCAAAACCAGATCCCTGTCTACAGGGTCCATTCATATGGAGGTCACTTCCCTAGCTACTGGTGAAAACATGAAGACCAGGATTCCAGTGGGCAGCACAGAGAAATCCAAGGAGAATGGAGTTAGGCTCAAACCACAGTAGGAAAATGGAGCTTAGCAAAGGCAAGGCATGCAACTTAGCCTGGCAAGGCTGGTGGCCATAGACTCAGGCTTCTGCTGAGTATGCTGCATGATTATCTTCTGCATAGTTCCCTAGGAACACTGAAAACCAATAGATTTCAGTATTGGTGTGGGCATTTCTGGGAATAGGAATCTGCAGAATTCACTGGAGAATAAATGGAAATGTACTTTTTGAAAAATTAGAAATATCAACCTAATTTCTGCCTGGTGTGATGCTTTTACTTTATCTAGTGGTACTGTTCTTTCCCTAAAGTGAATAAATAAATCATTGGCTTTTTCACTCAGAGCAATGACTGAAATCAGTTTTTTTGTGATCACAGCTATAGCAGCAAACACAAGATCCAACTGGATAGCAGTTTGATTAGCAGCATATCTAAATGCTAGTCCCTGGCCTTCATTGCTTCTGTCTTTAAAAAGCTTTCATTTTCTTCAGTTGCTTCTAACATGCATAGATCTGCTCTTATACTAGATTGCTAAAAGGAGAGTTTGCTAGCATGATATAAAATTGATACCCATTAAACAGTTTGCAGAAGCTATTCAGACTTGAATTGGAAATTAGAAGGGTTCCTCTACAAATTGTGCCATAGGAAAAGCACACATTAAGGGCCCACGTGAAAATGGTCTTTTTTTTTTTTTTTTTTTTTTTTTTTTTTTTGAGATGGAGTCTCGCTCTGTCACCCAGGCTGGAGTACAGTGGCGCCGCAATCTTGGCTCACTGCAGCCTTCACCTCCCAGGTTCAAGCAATTCTTCCTGCCTCAGCCTCCCGAGTAGCTGGAATTACAGGTGCCCACCACCACACCCGGCCAAGTTTTCTATTTTTAGTAGAGACAGAGTTTTGCCATGTTGGCCAGGCTGGTCTCGAACTCGTAGCCTCAAGTGATCCACCCGGCTCAGCCTCCCAAAGTGCTAGGATTACAGGCATGAGCCACCATGCCCAGCCCAAAGATGGGCATTTCTTAATCCTTAGAAGGGTCTATTTTGTTAGGAGTATGAAGTAAAAACCAGCTGGGCACTTTGGCTCATGCCATAATTTCAGCACTTTGGCAGGCTGGGGCCAGTGGATTGCTTGAGCCCAGGAGTTTGAGTCCAGACTGGACAACGTAATGAGGCCTCATCTCTAAAAAAAAATTAAAAAGTAACAAAATAAATAATATAAAATTAATAAAATGGCCCAGAGGGCTCATGGGTGCTTCCACAGGCCACATAGGTGCTGTGCTGCAGTTTCTTAGCAGGGAGTACCACCCATCATGAGCTCTTTTTTATGCCTCTTGATTTGACATGGCATGGTTTGTCTTGATTCCTTTTCTCTGTCTGAAAAGTCCACACTGAAGGCTGAGCTAGATGAATCTAGCACCAAAGCTTAACCTCCCTGCAGTAATGGATTTACTATAAAGAAAACCAAGGGATGTGGTTTTTATTGATTTTAATTGTTTCTCTAAACACAAATATTTATGTTGTGATTTAAGCTGTACAGAGTGAACGGAAGCCCTTCGATGTGCAACGGGAGAAACCAAGCAATTGTGCTGCTTCAACTGAGAAAATCTATATCCGGAAGGACCTGAGAAGTCCCCTGATAGCCACTCCCACGTTTGTGGCAGACAAAGATGGAGCAAGGTCAGTCCCTTGTTCTCACTGCAGTCATCCTTTGTAGTTGATGGGGGAGGCACAGACGTGCTGCAGAATGGTCACTGATGTTGCTTCCCACCCACATGCCACAGCCTCCAGCCTTGTGTTGCCTAATCTTGCCCCTTCTGGAGCTGCTCAGTTACCAGTCACACCTCTGGACAGGCCTGAGGATGTCTGATTTACGATGGAATCAGAAATTTGCCAAACCTTGAATTCAGATTATGTCCTATAATTTAGGCATCATTCATTCAGGAAGACAATTATTTTATAATTCAAGATTGGGGCTTTTCTGCAGTATAGACAAAAGGCCTACGGTGAGATAAAGTCTCAGTGCTACAGTTAATTTGTACATTCTTTTTAATCTATTGAACTTACTTTAAAAGGAACAGAAAGAGGGGAAAACAAGAAATCCAAAATGTATCAGAGAATTGAGGATGCCTTACTGATTTTCTGAAAATGAAGTTAACTTTTCTTGGCAGAATGGCCACAGTCTGTCATCCTGGAAAGCCCTGGGGGATGCATCCACCTATCATCCTGTCTCAAGCTGTAAACCTGACTTTATGTACATCTCACTGCAGAGAGACGGGTGGGGGGATTGTTTAGTCACTTAAGCAGCTGAGTCTAGTTAGAGCTTTTCTACTATTCAGACAGCTCCACAAATGTGGAGGGACAGGTAAATGCAGCATGATCATACTGTACATAAAATGTTGGAAGCTACTCTGGGTTTCTTTATGTCTTAAATAGACAAACAGGTCTTCTTGATCCAGGGATGCTTGTGAACATCCAGCAGCCTTTGATACGTGAGGATGGTACAGTTCTCCTGGCCACGGATTCTAAGGTGACGTTCTCTACTCATGCTTCTTTCTCTCATCCTTTATGCTGACATTATAGGCTGCTGCCCTAACTCTGTGCACCACCTTCTTTCTGGCCTTCAGAGACTGCATCAAAAGTGTGACCTGCATCATGGTCTCCTTCTTGTTGCGATAGCTCTCTTGGGATTCGTTTTAGAGATGCCAGTGGCTTTTCAGAAACCTCAGTCAGGGCTGGCTGGTCATAGTGACTGTAACATGTCAGTCTAGATGTCAGTTTAGTGGACATTCTGTGGTTCTCTTTTCTGTTATAGTTTCCTTTTTCTCTTATACACATTGGCAAACTACTAGCACACCAAGCAAAGAGATACTTATCCTAAGATGGCCTTTTTGCAAAAGCCCCGGGTTCCTTTTTATTAGATGATCTTCAGGAGCAAGTTCAGCCAGGAATCTTACAATTTCAAATCAGTCATAGGGATTTAACTTGTGGACAGAGATGTTTGTCAGTCCAAAAGGAAGAGACTGGCTGGCTCCTGTGAAGATAACCAAGGAGAATTTTCACAGAACTCATTGTTTTTCTCATTGTGGTACTTCCAATGTAAACCAAGTAAGGAAGTAGTAGCAGCAAACCTCAACTCTAAAGAGGGTGACTTGGTAATTGAGACCACTGGCATTGCTGCGACCATTAGAACCAGAGCAAAGCCTGCAGGCTTCCTTCTCATCTGTTCACATTCTCATTCATGGGTGCACTCAGGGCGTTACAGGGCATCCTCTTTTGGGAAAGAGAAGACAAAATTTAGAGCCCTTCCCTGTTATGGAGAGTTGCCCTGCATGCTTTGGTCCTCAGGGTGGGCTTTGCACCTCCTGTCTTGGGCAGGGGCCACATGCATCATGAGCAGGGAGCTGATGGATCACATGGGTTTAGGTTATCACCAGCACTCATTCTGGAACAGTGGCTCTGACTGCATAGTCAAATGCAAAGAAAGCGCAAGCCTGAAAATAAGGCCCAGATAACCTTAAAAACAGATTACCAAAAGATTCACAGCAGCCATTCTGTTGGGCCATCCACACAGAGACTGGGAATGAGAACCAAGACTCCAGAGCTGGCTAGACCTGAAGTCTCAGAGTCTGGCACTGTTCTTGGTACCCAGGTGCTTCTTTCCTGCACTTAAAAATTTCTCGGTACACAGTGAGCATTCAATAAACGTTAATGGTTAGGAATTAGTTACTGTCACTTTGGAGGAGGATGAACGCAAACCTGTATGGTATTTCAGGAATCAAGAGAGAGCTTCAGAGGCAGACTTGTGTCCTACCCCCTTCCTTCCTGTGTACAATGGAAACAACAGTAACCCCCACAGAAGTTTGGTATGACTAATAAAACATGCAAAGCACCTAAAGGAAGCTACTTTCAGAAATTGTTTTCCAATTTTTTGGGAAATATTTATACATTTAAAATAATTTACAATGAAGAAAGTATAGTGCTATTACAGAGCTCCCACTTAGCCTTCACCCGGTCCTCCCAGTGGTTATGTCATCCATACATACCTAGGATACACTATCACAACCAGGACATTGGCTTTGGTACAAACCGTATGTATTGTTTTATGTCTTTTTTATATTTCATTCTTCTTCAACTCCATTTCCTTCAACATACCTTTCTCTTGTGAGGATCTTACAGCAGTTGCACAATATTCTATGTCTCTGTTGTGATTTATTAGTCATTTCTGTTTATGACCTTTTCTACTGATCCTAGGTTTTCCACTTTTATAATCAAGACACAACTTTGTGTATACATTATCTTGATTTGAGTGTATCTCGGGCCTTCTTTTCTAAGACAGTGTCTTTCTCTGTTGCCCAAGCTGGAGTACAACGGTATGATGTTGGCTCCTTGCATCCTCCACCTCCCAGGGTCAAGTGATCCTCTCACCTCAGCCTCCTGAGTAGCTGGGACTATAGGTGCACACCACCACGCCTGGCTAATTTTTTGTATTTCTTTGTAGAGATGGGGTTTCACCATGTTGCCCAGTCTGGTCTTGAACTCCTGGACTCAAGCAATTCACCCATCTCAGCCTCCCAGAGTGCTGGGATTACAGGCATAAACTATTGCCCCTGGCTTTCTTTTTTAATTGAAATATAACTCACATGCCATAATACTCACCTTTTTAATGTATAATGTAGTAGTTTTTGGTATACTTACAAGGTTGTACAACCATCCCCACTACATAATTTTAGAATATTTTCATCACCTCAGAAGAAACCTTGAACCCTACTATGTAGTCACCCCTCCTCCCCACTCTTCTCAAACCTGCTAACCATTGATCTGCTTTCTGACTTGATGGTTTTGTCAACTCTGTACATTTTGTATAAAGGAAGTCATACAATATATGGTCTTTTGTGACTGGCTTTTCACTCAGCATAATGTTTTAAGGGTCATCATGGTGTAGCATGTATCAGTACTTAATTCCTTTTTATTGCCAAATAATACCTCATTGTTAAGGCAGTTTTGCTCGTTTCCCTGGCTGGAGTGCAGTGGTACGACCTCGGCTCATTGCAACCTCCACCTCCCAGGTTCAGACAATTCTCCTGCCTTAGCCTTTCAAGTAGCTGGGATTACAGGCATGTGCCACCATGCCCAGCTAATTTTGTGTGTATTGTTTTGTGACAGTGTTGCTTTGTCACCCAGGCTGGAATGTAATAGCAAAATCTCAGATCACTGCAACCTCTGCCTCCCAGGTTCAAGCGAGTCTTCTGCCTCAGCCTTCTGAGTAGCTGAGATTACAGGCATGCACCACCACCCCCGGCTAATTTTTGTATTTTTAGTAGAGACAGGGTTTCACCATGTCATTCAGCCTGGTCTCAAACTCTGGACCTCATGATCCACCTGCCTCGGCCTCCCAAAGTATTAGAATTACAGGCATGACCCACCACAGCAAGCCAATTTTGTGTTTTTAATAGAGACAAGGTTTCACCATGTTGGTCAGGCTGGGCTTAAACTCCTGACCTCAGGTGATCCTGCCCACCTGGCCTCCCAAAGTGCTGGGATTACAGGCATGAGCCACTGGGCCCAGCCTAATATACCTTTATATGACTAGCACATTGTATTTATCCATTAGTCAATTGATGGACATTTGTGTTGTACTACTTTACATTCTCACCAACTGTGTATGAAGGTTCTGATTTCTCCACATCCTTGCCAACACTTTTTATTGTCCATCTTTTTGATTGTAGCCATCCCAATGGATGTGAAGTGGTATGTCATTGTGATTTTCATTTGTATTTCTCATGATGTTGAGCATCTTTTCATATGCTTATGGTCTGTTTATATATTTTCTTTGGAGAGATGCCTGTTATCTTTGGGTTTTTTGTTGTTGCTTTTTGTTTTGTTTTTGAGACAGGGTCTCTGCCTGCCTGCTAGGCTGGAGTGCAGTGGCACAATCATGGCTCAGTGCAGCCTTGACTTTCTGAGTTCAAGTGACCCTTCCACTTCAGCTTTCTGAGTAGCTGGAACCACAGGCACACACAACCATAGCTACTTTTACTTTTATAGAGACAGGGCCTTGCCATGTTGCTCAGCCTGGTCTCGAACTCTTGGGCTCAAGTGATCTTCTGCTTCAGCCTCCTAAAGTGCTCTTCCCCCTCTCCCCTTTTCTTTTTTTTCAATTTTTTTAAATTAGAGATGGAATCTCTGTCACCCAGGCTAGAGTGCAGTGGCACGATCTCGGCTCACTGCAACCTCCACCTCCTGGATTCAAGTGATTCTCCTGTCTCAGCCTCCCAATTACCTGGGGTTACAGGCATCCACCACCATGCCATGCTAATATTTGTATTTTTAGTAGAGACAGGGTTTCACCGTGTTCACCAGGCTGGTCTTGAACTCTTGACCTCAGGTGATCCACCTGCCTGGGCCTCCCAGGGTGCTGGGATTACAGATGTGAGCCACTGCACAGCCTCGTTTTCCATTTTAAAATTGGGTTATTTGTCTTTTTATTATTGTGAGTTCCTTAGAAATTCTGGCTACCATTAGACATATGATTTGCAAATATTTTCTCTCATTCTGTGAGTTGTCCTTTTGTTTTTTTTGTGGGTTGTCTTTCTACTTTCTTGACAATTTCTTTTGAAGCACAACAGGTTTAATTTTAGTGAAGTTTAGTTTGTCTGTTTTTCTTCTGTCATTTTGTCACATATATAGATTTGTGTAAATACCATGACACCAAGATACAGAACTGTTGTATCACGAAAAAGATCTTCCTCATGTTGCCCCTTTGTAGTCACACTCCCCTCGAAGCTGTTTTTGAATCACCGTTAGAACTTCATTGGCCTGAGAGTAATTTGCATATGTGTGTTCATTTTTAATGTTAGTATTTTATTTTTTGTTTAATAGGCTGAAACAAGCCAGGGAGCTCTGGGCACACTGGCAAATGTAGTGACCTCCCTTGCCAACCTAAGTGAATCCTTGAACAACGGTGACACTTCAGAAATCCAACCAGAGGACCAGTCTGCAAGTGAGATTACTCGGTATGAGCATATGAGGGTGGAGGCCCCGCTCCTGGCCTGCATACCCTCCCTATATTATGAGGGTGGAAAACAGCATTTTGCTGTTTTTAACCAAGGATGAAAAAATCATTACAGTGACCTTGCACATCTGTCTTCTTTCAGATTTTAACTCTGGGAACATAGACCCACTTAATGTTATACAGTATAAAACAGTCCAAACCATGGAAAAGGAAATTGAGTAAATCAATAGAAGTATGGCAATAATTGTTTCAGTGGACAGCGGTTATTTGTATTAATTACTGTTTAATAATACATCTGCATATTAAGAGTTCATTCCCTTTCCTACTTTTAACCTATTTTTCTCATCTACATTTTTTCTTTTTTTAAATAGAGAGGGATCTTGCAATGTTGCCCAGGCTGGTCTAGAACCCCTGGGCTCAAGTGATCGTCCCACCTCAGCCTCCCAAAGTGCTGGGATTACAGGCATGTGCCACCACGCCCAGCCCTCATATATATTTGTTTCCGAGTAGTGAATTGAGAGCTTAAATCTACCAGGGTAACTGGATTGATAGTGGCTGATAAATAGCATGAGCCGGTGCTGGACGTCGATAACTGCTGCTAAGGATGTTTCTTCTTTGCAGTTTGACTCTTGTGCTCTGCTCCTAACATGCCAGACCTGCCATATACAGAGCTGGAGACTAAGACTAACAAGCATTCCAGTCCTTTGTTCACTATGGTCTGATAACAAATAAGATCTAGGTCCAGTGGAAAGAGGGTGGGATTTGAATTAGGTAGAATTCTGGTTCTGCCACTTACTATATGGATGGTCTTGGAAAAGGTGTTTAACAAAGTTAAGGTCAGCATTCACATCTGTAAAATGGAAGAGAAGTTTTACTTTTGGAGGGTACTTGCGAAAAATAGAAATTGGGCCTGGGTGCAGTGGCTTATGGCTATAATCCCAGCACTTAGAGAAGCTGAGGCAAGAGGATTGCTTGATCCCAGGAGTTTGAGACCAGCCTGGGTCAATGTAGTGAGACCCCATCTTTGAAGAAGTAAGTAAGTAAATAAATAAATAAATATAAATTGCCCATGAAGTTAGATAATATATAGATCAGTACCTAAGGTGATGTGTAGATAATATATTGAGCTTTCATTGTTAGCCGGGCACAGTGGCTCACTTGTGTAATCCCAGCACTTTGGGAGGCAAGGGGGTGGATCACTTCATGTCAGAAGTTCTAGACCAGCTTGGCCAACATAGTGAAACCCTGTCTCTACTAAAAATACAAAAAAATTGAACAAATGCCAGGGTTTAACGCCTGTAATCCAACCCTTTGGGAGGCCAAGGCAGGTGGATCACCTGTGGTCAAGAGTTTGATACCAGCCTGGCCAACATAGTGACACCCCATCTCTACTAAAAATACAAAAAAAAAAAAATTAGCCAGGCGTGGTGGCATGTGCCTATAGTCCCAGCTACTTGAGAGGCTAAGGCAGGAGAATCGCTTAAACCCGGAATGTGGAAGTTGCAGTGAGCCAAGATCCCATCACTGCCCTCCAGCCTGGGTGACAGAACAAGACTCAGTCTCTAAAAAGTGAAAAAAAATTTAGCTGGGTGTGGTTGTATGTGCGTATAGTCCCAGCTACTCAGGAGGCTGAGGCATGAGAATTGCTTGAAGCCAGGAAGAGGAGCCTGCAGTAAGCTGAGATCCTGCTACTGCACTCCGGCCTCTCTGCTATCTCTAAATAAATAAATAGGAAGCTTTCATTGTTAGTGTTTTCCTCACCAGGTAGAATTTAATTATCTTTTCCCATTGTAGTTTTTCTAAATCATATCTTAGCTAGAATTCTGTTCCTCCTAAAAGCTGTAGAATCACAACACTTCCATGCTTCATTTTTGCTCACAGGGCATTTGATACCTTAGCTAAAGCACTTAATACTACAGACAGCTCCTCTTCTCCAAGCCTGGCAGATGGGATAGACACCAGTGGAGGAGGGAGCATTCATGTCATCAGCAGAGACCAGTCGACACCCATCATTGAGGTTGAAGGCCCTCTCCTTTCAGACACACACGTCACATTTAAGGTGAGTGGATTCAGCCTAACCATGTGCCCCCAACCTGCTGGGGGAGAGGTTCTGTACCAGAGCTGGTCTGCAGTTTTATAAATGAAACCTTGGACGCCAGGCATGCTTGCTCACACATGTAATCCCAGGACTTTGGGAGGTGGAGGTGGGAAGATCACGAGGTCAAGAGATTGAGACCATCCTGGCCAACATAGTGAAACCCTGTCTCTACTAAAAATATAAAAATTAGCTGGGCATGGTGGTGCGTGCCTGTAGTCCCAGATACTTGGGAGGCTGAAGCAGGAGAATCGGTTGAACCCAGGAGGCGGAGGTTGCAGTGAGCCAAGATCGCACCATTTTACCACTCTAGCCTGGGCAACAAAGCAAGACTTCATCACACACACACACAAAAAAAAAAAAACCTTGGGGCCAGGCGCAGTGACTCACACCTATAATCCCAACACTTTGGGAGGCCGAGGCACGGAGATCACTTAATCACCTAAGGTCCGGAGTTCAAGACCAGCCTGGCCAACATGGTGAAATCACATCTCTACTAAAACTACAAAAATTAGCCGGGACTGCATAGTAGCTGCAGTCCCACCTACTCGGGAGATTGAGGCATGAGAATCACTTGAACCCAGGAGGCAGAGGTTGCAGTGAGTCAAGATTGTGCCATTGCACTCCAGCCTGGGCAACAAGAGTGAAACTCCGTATCAAAAAATAAATAAAAATTAAACCTTGGAGTGAGCTCATCTGTGAACTGTGGCATTTGACATTATGACTTCAAGCTGTATTTTGTGTTCCAGAATGATAGTCCCATTATGAAGCATTGTCACTTGCCTTTGCTCACAGTGCCATTTGTTTCTGAAGGTAACCCTGAAGAGGCGTGGCCCATCGTTGCTAAGACAGGCTGACACAGTGGTAACTGCTGAGGATAACTGCTGTTCTGATTGCTCTGTCCCTGCCTTTCTGTGACAGCCTTGCTGCCCCATGGGCTCAGGCAGGCACTTTTGTCGCTTCTCTGTGTCATAGAAATCTACAACAAGCAGGCACCCAGCCATTGATCATGACTGCTATGCCCTCTAGAGCCACAAAAAGCAGATCCCTTGAAGAGTGCTGTTAAGGCCTCGTGGGTCTTGTGCTGTCTTTCACTGGTCTTACTTTTTCTACAGAACATTCAGAGGGCACCTGAAGCCTCAGTCTCTAGGTCTCCAGACTGCCGAGTCTTCCTAATTCCCCAGTATTTTTTTTTAAACAAATACTTAGTCTGAAGTGTAGTGATATAATCGTGGCTCGCTGTAACCTCAAACTCCTGGGCTTGAACTCCTGGGCTCAAGTGACCCTCCTGCCTCAGCCTCCCAAGTAGCTAGGACTACAGGTATGCACCACCAAGCCCAGCTAATTTTTATTTTTATTTTTTGTAGAGACAGGGTCCTCAATATGTTGCCCAAGCTGGTCTCAAACACTTGGCCTCAAGCAGTCCTCCCACTTTGGCCTCCAAAAGTGCTGGGGTTACAGGCAAGAGCCACTGCACCTGACCCAGTATTTTTTACTAGAGGAAGTTAGGTCCCTGCTCCTAGTTTACAAAAGGTACCTAAGAAACAGGTCACCAGTACAATTCCAGCTTCAAAGGCATTGGAGCCCCTTCTAGACAATGGAATTCCTAGAGCCTAGACCAACATTCTAATCATGGGATATCATCCTCCTACCATGACAGCTGCTTAGCTCTTGCTCACTGCTATCTTAAGACCATCTACCGAAATGCCTTCTAGCCCATGAAGTTGGCCCGTTACCCAGATTTATTTTTTATTTTACTTTTATTTTTTTGAGACTCAGTCTCACTCTGTCACCCATATTGGGGTGCAGTGGTATGATCTTGGTTCACCACAACCTCCACCTCCCAGGTTCAAGCGATTCTCCTGCCTCAGCCTCCGAAGTAGCTGGGATTATAGGCGCACACCACCATACTTGGCTAATTTTTATATTTTTAGTAGAGACGGGGTTTAACTATGTTGGCCAGACTGGTCTCAAACTCCTGACCTCAGGTGATCTGCCTGCCTCAACCTCCCAAAGTACTGGGATTATAGGCATAAGCCACTGCACCTGGCCCCTATTCCCCAGATTTAATTTAGACCTTAACCTATGGCTCAAAATGGAGTTGCCATAGAACAAATAACAATTTAGCCAAGGTAAGATTTGAGGAGTATGTTTTTGTGTGAGTTGGCTGGGAAGATCCCCTGAGATTTTTAAACTGGAGTTAAAATGTGGTCCAGCCACTGCCCTGGGTATACTTTTTCTAGTTGGGTAATTTGGAACTTCCTCCAAGTTTCTCAGTTTTCTTCCCCTTAGGTTTATGGACCACATTCCAAGGCCCATTAGACCCTTAGTTCACTGAGCAAGAAGACATGGGGAGTCCATGCAAGCCCCCACTGCAGGGGACTTCACAGAGAGTGACTCTAGATGCCACTGTTACTGAAGCATGACAGGGATACATATTGATAGACAAAGCCATCGCCTGTCCTTCCTTCACCTCCTGTGCCATGTGCCTTCTCTTTTCCAGCTTACAATGCCCAGTCCAATGCCAGAGTACCTCAATGTGCACTACATCTGTGAGTCTGCGTCCCGTCTGCTTTTCCTCTCAATGCACTGGGCTCGGTCAATCCCAGCCTTTCAGGCACTTGGGTAAGTGGCCACTTTTCTCTGAATGTATCCTTGGGTGAGGGCCTTCCTCTCCCCAGGAATGACCTGGAAGAACTCTGAGGACCCTTCTTCTAGTTTGACTGTTCCTATAACCTCATTCAAAGGACCCTGAGTTTCTTACTAAGTATAGTTAGTGGACCGGTAACAGGGTTACCAGTTGCCAGTTCTGCAATGTTCCTTAAACCTTTATGGAGTCTCCTACATACACCAAGGATTTGGTGCTGGGAGCTGGGGATAGAGAAGAATGTAGAAGGCAAGGGTAGTCCCTCGCAGTGTACTAAGTACAGTGTGACTCTCAAACTGAAGCCAGGCTGGGAACTGTGCCTAGCTTTCATAAAGTGAATGTGAATCAGCTCTTTGCTCAAACACTGATTTACATTCTCACACAAGCCACAGTGCCAACCGGCACATTGAGTAGTACAGACCCTGGTGTCATCTCTGCAGGAAGCCCCCGTTTCCTTGCTTTCTTGAGTACTACTTGTGTTTATTTCTCCTCTGAATCCAAGCATTGGCTCTTTCAATGTGCCAAGTGCTGTGTAGCTGGTGTAACTGCCATTGTGCCATCAGGTGGCTGGCAGTCTGGTTGAAAGATAAGTAACCACATAAAAATGGAAATACTGTGAGAGTTAATGCATACTGCAGAGTAACCATCCTTAGTTAATATGTGGAAAACACTAGAATGGAGGGCAGGGTTGTCTAGTAGTTTACACTATTGGGTTTAGAACAAACAGACCTAGTTGTCGGGCCATAAGAATAGCCTTTGTCAGCTGTGTGGCCTTGTGCAAGTCACTGTACCTCTCTGAGCCTCCAGTTTCTCATTGTAGAATCCTTGCATGGGTTTAAGATCTATAAATCTCTTAACCCAGTGCTTGGCACGCAAGGGACTCACAGAAGGCAGTGTGGTTCTCTGGTCAGGTGGTATGGGATATGTCCTAAGTAGTTGTTAGAATGGTCACCTCCTTCCGTTAGTAAAGAAAACAAAGACGAATTGTCTCATTCTCCAGGGAGAACTAGACAGGTAATGACTACTAAACAAGTGTTAGGAATTTCATTGTTAGCTCTTGGCCTACCCCTTGCTACCACGTGGTAGGTGGTGTAACTTCAGTTAGTTGTTTTTTTAATAACACCACAGTCTACACTTATTAGTACTGGTGGGTACCTGAGATTTTTAAACTGGAGTTAAAATGTGGTTCAGCCACTACCCTGGGTATACTTTTTCTAGTTAGGTAATTTGGAACTTCCTCTAAGTTTCTCAGTCCGGGCTAGATAAAATGTGCTACCACATTTAAAGTGGTTTTTGTTATATTTCATGTACTGTTTTTCGTAAGTTAGTGTCCAGGGCAGTGATCATAGTAAAATGCTAGATGTACATCTGGGACATTTGGGAGTGACACAGTGCAGTCGCCCTGGTTCTCAGTGCCCTCCTGTGGCTGGGCCACCCTTCAGGCAACTGGAGAAAACAGCCTTGTCAAGACAGCCCAGTTTCTCTGACCTCCTGAAATCTTGAGACAGGTGAGGGAATACCATTTGGGGGTTTCTGAGAATAAGGATGTAGTGTTTTATGACATGCCAACCTTGCTGACTAACCTGAGTAGAATTTCGCCAGGGCAGGGCTGGAAGCGGCCTTAACTGGACCCCCATCCTCCCTGCTTCAGTCTCAGCTCCAGGACAGAGCCTGCCTCCTGCCCTACAAGGTTTGCAGGGTATGTTTCTTCCCTTCAGAATCTGTATTCAGCTCTTAGTCTTTTGATCCCTGTAGCCTCTTATTACTGTGGGTGAAGGACCTAAGTAACTGATACTACCTCCTGGAGCAGAGCCAAGCCAGGATGCTGAAGCTTTAGAAGGCTGTAGGAAATGATGGTTTGGCCATACCTTTTAAAATTTCTCATTATTTTAGCCTAAAGAATGTTTTTAAGAGAATAGTTGATTATCAGAAAAACTTTAGGTACAACATTCATAGACTGAGTCATAGACTTCATCATTTTCTTGGAGAATGATCCTGAATAGCACTTCAGCAAATACTTACTCAATTCACCTGTTTGGGAAATGCTGGCACTTAGTGCCTGCATGCCCCATAACCTTGGAGAAATGCCAACATATACCACACTCAGCCTCATCTCTATATCCCCAGGCAGGACTGCAACACCAGCCTGGTGCGTGCCTGCTGGAATGAGCTCTTCACCCTCGGCCTGGCCCAGTGTGCCCAGGTCATGAGTCTCTCCACCATCCTAGCCGCCATCGTCAACCACCTGCAGAACAGCATCCAGGAAGGTAGGGTCCAGGGACTTGGGGGCTGGGGTGTGTCTTGGTCCAGCCTGGTGGCCATGGAGGAGAGCCCAGCCCTGGTTGGAGGCCCATGTCAAAGACACCTTTGTTGACCCAGGCTAGCACCATAGCATATTGGCTAGCCTCAGTGTCCCACAGTATCCATAGGCTGAGAGTAATTTGACTTTTAAGTTATGGAACCTTTGGACTGGGTGTGGTGGCTCATGCCTGTAATCCTTTATTAGGTCAGGCAGAAAGATTACTTGAGCCCAGGAGTTTGAGACCAACCTGGGCAACATAACGAGACCTTGTCTCTACAAAAAAATACAAAACATTAGCCAGGCCTGGTGGCATCTGCCTGTAGTCCCAGATACTCAGGAGGCTGAGGCAGGAGGATTGCTTGAGTCCAGAGTTTGAGACCATGGTGAGCTGTGATCATGGCATGTACTCCACCCTGGGTAACAGCAAGAACCCATCTCAATGAATGAATGAATCAATGTTACAGGACCCTTATCAGTCAGAATATGTAAACTTCTGCCAGACTGCACTCTTCAAACAATTAATATGAGGAAAAAAATGGAAAAGGTCAATTTCTTGTTAGGCATTTAGTGGTGATCTTTTCAGAATAATCACAGCTGATATTTTCATCTTCATTGATAGGTTACTTTTCTCATGTATGATAGTTCAAAGATCCTCAAACCCTATAAAATAGGGACTATTACCTCATTTTTCCATATGGAGGAACTGAGGCCCTGATAAGATCCCTGGCTTGCTCCAAATGAAACAGTAAGTACAAAAACTAGGGCACAGGCCAAGCACAGTGGCTCACACCTGTAATCCCAGCATTTTGGGAGGCCAAGAGGGGGGAATCACCGGAGGTCAAGAGTTCAAGACCAGCCTAGCCAACATGGTGAAATCCCATCTCTACTAAAAATACCAAAAATAAAAGGCTGCATGTGGTAGCTTATGCCTGTAATACCAGCACTTTGGGAGGCTGAGCTTGGGAGTTTGAAACCAGCCTAGGCAACATGGCGAAACCCCATCTCTACTAAAAATGCAAAAAGTTAGCTGGGCGTGGTGGCAGGCACCTGTAATCCCAGCTACTCAGGAGTCTGAGGCAGGAGAATCACTTGAACCTTGGAGGCAGAGGTTGCAGCGAGCCAAGATCGCGCCACTGCACTCCAGCCTGGGCACACACACATATTCTCATCCTCATCCTCATCCTCATCCTCCTCATCCTCATCCTCCTCATCCTCATCCTCATCCTCATCCCTCTCTCGTCTCAAAAGAAACACACACACACACATAGCCGAGCATGGTAGTACATGCCTGTAATTACAGCTACTTAGGAGGCTGAGGCATGAGAATCACTTGAACCCAAGAGGCAGAGATTGCAGTGAACCAAGATTGTGCCACTGCACTCCAGCCTGGGTGACAGAGTGAGGTGAGACTGTTTTAAAAAAAAAAAAAGAAAAGAAAAACTAGGGCACAAACCCGCATCATGCTGACTCTAGTCCAGGACACATGTACCTCACCCAGGCTGCTCCATATGAATCAACAAATGACTCTCTTCTAGTGAGATCTGTGGCAACTATCTAGTTTTTGGTGTTCAAAACGTCAGCAGTGTCAGGAATGTCAGGAATAGGAGGCAGCCATTGTAGTCTCCACATGCAACATGTCTGTGACACACTGAAGACCACTGTCATACCCAGCATTTGGAGTAACACTGAAACTCTATACTTGCAGCTGAAGTAGAAATGTTTTTTGTTTTTTTTTTAACAGATTCTCTCTGTGTTGCTAAGCTGGAGTGCAGTGGCAGTCGTAGCTCACTACACCCCTGAACCCCTGGGTTCAAATGATCCTCCTGCCTCAGCCTCCCAAGTAGCTGCGACTACAGGCACTTGCCATCACACCCAGCTAATTTTTATATTATTTTTATAGAGAGGAGGTTTAAACATGCTGCCTAGGCTTGGAACTTCACTTTTAATTGTGCATTCCAAGTGTTTGATATTTAGGAATTTGAGTAACCTATTCATACATTTGTTTTTCTAGTTATTTCCTTGGAATAGTTATATAAGGGTGAAGTTTTTTAAAAAGCCTGTTAACAGGCCAGGTGCAGTGGCTTACACCTGTAATCCCACCACATTGGGAGGCTGAGGCAGGTGGGTCACTTAAGGTCAGGAGTTCAAGACCAGCTTGGACAACATGGCGAAACCCCGTCTCTACCAGAAATACAAAAATTAGGCATGGCGGTGAGCGCCTGTAATCCCAGCTACTTGGGATGCTGAGGCAGGAAAATCGCTTGAACCTAGGAGGTGGAGGCTGTAGTGAGCCAAGACCACTCCATTGCACTCCAGCCTGGGCGACAGAGCAAGACTCAAAAAAAAAAAAAACCCCAGATTTTATTGAAGTTATGTAAGATTTATTGTTCACAAATGAGCTTCAGTTTTCTTTCTTTTTTGGGCGGGGGTAGAGACAGAGTCTCATGATGTTGCCCAAGCTGATCTCAAACTCCTGGCCTCAAGCAGTCCTCCTGCCTTGGCCTCCCAAAACATTGGGACTAGAAGACATGAGCTATGGCAACTAGCCAGTTTTATTTTAAACTAAGTGTAACAAAACTAATACCGCCAGTAAGGTATTATCATGAAGATTAAATGAAATAACATATAAAATTTTTCTGAAGCCAGGTACGGTGATGCATACCTGTAGTCCCAGCTATGCAGGATGCTGAGGTGGGAGGATCACTTGAGCTCATGAGTTTACGTTCAGCCTGGGCAACATAGTAGACACCCAACTAAAAAAAAAATTGTTTTGACAACTAAAAAATGCTAGCATTTAATGTTCAGGTGCCTGCAGAGACTTAGAAAAACCTAACCATTTATATGAACTGTTAGTCTTCAGGATAAAGACATGTTTATTCAGGCACAGAGTAAAAGGAATTCTCAATGTACACCTACAGGCCAAAGGAGCTGCCTGGCGGCAGGGCCAGGAAGAATCACTGGTCTAGGAGTTTGTTGAGGGAGAACCCATATTGGAGCAGACTTTGTGTACCTCTTGTCACTTCACCTGCAGCTAGAAAATGAAGCTCTTGTTCATCTTGAGATTACTGATTTTTAAAAGTGGAATCGTCCCATTTCTTTCCATCTGTGGCCCTCAAATAAACTGGTTTTATTGTTCTTGCCCACCTTTCACAGAGATTTGTGATCTTGGTTTCTAGATAAACTTTCTGGTGACCGGATAAAGCAAGTCATGGAGCACATCTGGAAACTGCAAGAGTTCTGTAACAGCATGGCGAAGCTGGATATAGACGGCTATGAGTATGCATACCTTAAAGCTATAGTTCTCTTTAGTCCCGGTAAGATATGCAGTGGGGGTGCATGACCCTTTTCCACCGTATCTACTGATGTTTCTGAACATGAACATGTTGTCATCAGTGGTGTAGAAAGAGCCCTGTGGATTATATGTGACCTAGACGTTTTGCTAAATCACATAAATACATAAATGCTGTTAATTCTTGCCTTTACAGCTCCAAAGAAATATGCTCCAGTGCCTGATGTCACGCACTGAATAGATTTGTCCTAATTAAACCATTGGCCAAACAAGACTATAGCATACAAAAGTGTGCTACCACCCTATATCCTTTTTTTTCTTTCTGTTTTTGGCTCTTTGCGAGTTTCCAAGTTTTGTTACCACATATAATCCAGTACACATAGAAGCTCTACCTGTTTGCACAGAATGTGTATAGCAGTAGCAGCAGCTGCTGCAGAGCATGCTAAAAGGTATGTTCACAGGAGATGAAGAGGCAGTGATCAGGATGCCTGGGCTGGCCTCACTTCCCTCAGCTGTTCTCTCAAGGCCTGAAGAAGTCACTCAGGCTGACTGCTGACCTCACAGTAGGGGTTGGACACAACTTAACCTTTTCCTCTTCTTTCCCAGCCCTCTACTCACTAACAACAAAATAGCTAATAAAATTGAGACAGATTATATAATTAAATATTAAGTAAATGACAATTTCTAATTTTATGTGATAGTTTTTAAAACTGTGTTTTCTAGGGTAGTAGGAAGCCAAATGTCTGGAACCAACCAGGTGGGACCGCTCAGGCTGGCATCTACTCAGGGTCCCCAGTCCCCTCCCAGGAACTTCAGGCCTGGGTAGAAAACAGGAAAACCCAGTGTTCTAATAATACCTAAACTAGATCAGTCTTTGAATTCAGTTTGTTATACTTGAGAAGTTTGCAGAAGTTTGACTAAAAATACTAAGTCTGCAGGTGAGACTTTTCAAATTCAGAGGGAATTTGGAGGTACTTTTCTGTTTTCAGATCATCCAGGTTTGACCAGCACAAGCCAGATTGAAAAATTCCAAGAAAAGGCACAGATGGAGTTGCAGGACTATGTTCAGAAAACCTACTCGGAAGATACCTACCGGTGAGTCATTTAGGCACACGTTCTTGCTTGGGGCAGCAAAGAGTGTGGTTGAGTCTGTAGTTTCAAATATAAATTATGTTAGCCTTTCCATTTTTAGTAGCCTGATAGAGCCTCCATTGTATCACACACTAATTCTTGAGTTTTGTTTTTTTTTCCAAGCTCTCAAGAGCTAGAGAGAATTCTTGAATTCTAGAGGCGGCGTAGAGTGCCAGGAGGAGGGCCAGGACTGTGGCTGATTATAGCATTGCTGTGTGACTGTGACTATGGCCTCAGATTGCTATTCTTTAATTGGAAAAGTTGGAGCGGATGCTATATGGCTTGTTCCGAGGCTAACACTGTACATGAGGTTTGAGTTCTCATAGAGATTCCCTTATCCAGAATAGTTTGACAGGTCTGCTCCTCTGGTCAGTGGCCATTGAAGAGGCAGTGCTAGAGTACTTGACAGAAAAGTTCTCACTGACAGAAATCAAACCTGACCCCTCTAAAGGAGTGGATGAGTTGTATAAAGTCATTTTACATTCAGATAAACTGATGGAAAAAGTTTATTTGGGTGAAAATTAATGATACTATTTGTAATGAATGTGTAGCTATATATATAGCTATATATATATATATAAAATATAAATTAGCTTTTCTCATGCAGATTTACGCAGGAAAGTTTTCGGATCTGCCAAAGGGCAGAATGTATTGACAGGCTTTCCAGCCAAGGATGGAAGAATGCTTCCTGTGACAGCTTCTGACCTACCAGAAGCTACATGAATTTGTGAGACCCTTTCAAGTAAAGTATTTCCCTCCCCATCATATGCCACTAAAATAAACATTGGAACAAAATTGACAGCATGGGAAGACACACAGGCCCACCTTCCCCAAAGTGTGTCCCCTGCACAGACCTCAGTCTGCAGGAGCCCCATGGAACAGAGGTGTCTTGGGGCTACCCCTTCTGGTCCAGTGCTTCTCAAAAGAAATGATTTTGTCCCCCAGTGGGTAACCAGCTCTTCTTAGTGTTTCAGTGCTAAAACCAGGACAGTTCCCCCGCCATTTATCTGGTGTGACTGGGGGCATCTTGTAGGTGGCTGGTCCTGCTGGTAGACAAGAGCCTTCTCCTCCTTTTGGCACACTTTCATTGCCCAGATGTGGGTTTTACAAAAGCTAGCTCCATTTTCTACTGTAATCACTGAAGGCCTCATCATGAATCTAGAATAACTTCAGGCTCAATATATAGAGAATGGACCCTCAGGGAATGCACCCACACCCAGAATTTATACATCCAGCCAGGTGCCCAGTCAGGTTGTCCCCCGAGGAGGCCACAGGCCTGCTCCTCAACAGTTAAAATGGCCAAAAGATGGCTGGAAATGGCCTTCTGGGTCTGTTGGCAGAACCACAGCACACTCTAGAATCACTTTAACATCAGCAACTCTGTGGCCTTGGAAAGTAGATACAATATTTTCGAAAACATCATGAGTCACTCCTATCCAGTCAGGGACCCAGGGTTGGGTAGGGTGATGACAAGTGACTTGAAGTCCAAAATGGTAAGGGAGGCTTTCTTTTTTGTTTTTAAATTGTACTTTATGTTCTGGGGTACATGTGCAGAACATGCAAGTTTGTTACATGAGTATAAGGGAGGCTTTCTTTTAGGGCTCAGAAATTCACCCAGAGATAGTTTTCAAAAGGCCTTATAATGTTTTACATCCTGTTTGCAAATTCATTTTTTTATCTTGATATTTACTGTCTGGAATATCCATTTTTTACTCTTACCCATTCTTATTCCTTTTCTCATATTGATTATTTCTCCTGAAATACTTCCCACCCCTCCCAATTCTTTGTATCTCTGCTGATAGAAATCTTAGCCGGGCCTCTAAGGCCCAGCTAAGATGGTGGGTCCCTTACACCTTTGTCTGCCCTGCAAGATTGGGGCACAGCAACTCACTGTGGCTGGGTGAATGGATGCTGGTGCTGGAATGCTACTTGCATAATATGAACACATTTTCTCATTTTAAAAATAGTATTCACTGTAGAAAAACTTAGAGTGTTCTAGAAAGCAAAAATGAAAAAGAAACTTTTAAAAAAGCACTATCTAGGGGCAGGCCATAGCAACTCACACCTGTAAACCCAGCACTTAGGGAGGATGAGGCAGCAGGATTGTTTGAGCCCTGAAGTTTGAAAACACCCTGGGTAACATAGTGAGACCCCATCTCTATGAGAAAAAAATTTTTAAATTAGCCAGGTGTAGTGATGTGCACCTGTAATTCCAGCTACTCAGGAGGCTGAGGTGGGAGAATCACTTGAGCCTGGGAGGTTGAGGTTGCAGTGAGCCATGATCACATCGTTGGACTGCAGCCTGGATGACAGAGGAAGACGGTGTCTCAAAATCAAAACAAAACAAAACAAAAAAAACACTATCCAGAGATACCTACTATTAACATTCTGTGTATTTACTTACAGAAATTTTTTATGTATTATAATTGGGATCATAAAATACCAAAGGTTTTGTAACCTCTTTTCAGGTAATACAGAATAACCGTACGTACTCTTCTACATCATTTTCTTTGGGTCCTAGTTCCCTGCTAATGAAAAAGTAGGTCCAGTTTGGGCTGTCACACATGGCACTGCAGTAGCATCCTGGCGCATGCTCCACATTTTCACCTGGGATCCATTCTTGGCTGGGGAATGGCCTGGTCACATGGGACACTTCAGATACACAGAGTTAAGTGGCCTTCCAGGGCAGCGTCACGGTGCACCCTCCACCCCAGGTTTCTTCAAAATGAAAGCTACTTTATTGCTTTATTTATAATGCTAAATGGACACTGGGAATTATAGCAGTACAAAAAATAAGTAAAATCACCTGCAGTCCCAATACCCACAGCCCAACTCTTAGCATTGTGATGAACATTTTCCAAATACTTTGTATATACCTCTATACTTGCTGTTTTATAATCTCCTTTTACGTTTTTATTGAGCAATATGTCATGGATGTCTTTCCTGATCAGTAAATACAAATTTTTATCATCTTTTTTTTTTTTTTGAGACGGAGTTTGGCTGTTTGTTGCCCAGGCTGGAGTGCAGTGCTATGATCTCAGCTCACTACAACCTGCACCTCCCAGGTTCAAGTGATTCTTCTGTCTCAGCCTCCAAATATTATCCTTTTTTAAATGAGTCTATAGCAGTTCATCATATGAAGACTCCTACTCTATTTTAATCTGTCCTCTGTTGATGAATTTCCAAGTATTTTCTGTTTGATGGGGGTGAGGAGAGTTGGAATAAACAAGAGTCTTGAAGGGAATATATCTGTACATACATTATGTACTCACTTGTTTGGTTTTTTCTCATGATAAATTTCTATAAGAGGAACTGTTGAAATCAGAAAAGAGAGGTGGGTAGACAGATGCATTTGGTTTGATTCTGTGCAGTTCAGACAGGGCCTGTGCTGAGCTGTGGTTGGAGGGCATCAAACAGTCTCCTTTTCCAGTGACTCTCCCTTTTACAGATTGGCCCGGATCCTTGTTCGCCTGCCGGCACTGAGGCTGATGAGCTCCAACATAACAGAAGAACTTTTTTTTACTGGTCTCATTGGCAATGTTTCGATAGACAGCATAATCCCCTACATCCTCAAGATGGAGACAGCAGAGTATAATGGCCAGATCACCGGAGCCAGTCTATAGTGCACACCACACACCTGCCAAGGAGCAAAAGAATCTTCCCAGGACCGTTCACATACAAAGAAAAGTAAAGTAGTGGTATTTTGGTATGTGCAAATATTTCCATATGTTAGCCATTTCCTGTCCGGTTTTTCCTTATCTGTTAATCCCAGACAATAGCAATTAAGACTAGTAGGATCCTTTCCTGACATAAGAAATGTTTTAATGCCTTTTGATGAAGCAGCAGATTTTGGAACAATCTTTTAACTCAATTTATATTTAGAAATTCTCAAAGGGCAAAAAACAGAAAGGTTTTCTAACGTCAGAGACTAGTATTAAAGAAAACAAAGAACCTAAGAATAGTATGTCTGTGTATATATATAAAAAGTCCTTGGAATTATAGATACTAATTACCAGGGTAATAATATTAGCACTTTCTAAGCACTTAGCAATGTGTAATGTTAGCAACATCTTGCCTGTGGGCAGGGCAAATGGAAAACTGTATATGTCTTTTGCCGAAATGCTAATGATTTCTGTGGAAACTCACTAGGGTACAGGAGACAATCATTTATGTTTAAGAAAAGGCATCATTCCTAATTGTGTGAACATGTTGTGGTTGAGCTGAATTCTGTGAATGGAAACATGGCTCATTTGCATCATGCAGTGAGAGAGAGTGTGGTGGCATAGTCGGTGGTGACCCAGACTAGAAGCTTCTAGCCATAGAGCGGACATTTGTCAGGTTCCCTGACCACTTGGTCCTGGTCTCTGATGGGCATCTACAGATCCCTCTAGAACCTGGGGTTCTCCTTTGATGACTTAGTTGTCTGAATTGGATTGCAACTAATCAGACATTAACTGCCAAATGAGATGTACAATTCCTTTAGCAAGTGCAAACATCCCCAAGTCACGTCCAGCGCTCATGGCAGATGGAGCCTTCTGACTGAAAAGCGCAAGGTTGGCATTTTGAGCCCTTGACAGTACTTCCAATACAATTGGGGGTGCCTGCGTGTTTGTCCAGATGGAGGACCGTGGCCTTGGAATGTGAGGGTTACCTTCCCAGGACTTTTCTACTCCAAATGCCCCCTTGAAAAGGACTTATGTTTATGCAGTTCTGTGAGAACTGTGAGGCTGGAGTGGGGCTGGACAGGAGCCTGCTGTGCCACCTGGCCAGAGTGGCCAGAGCCTGGTAAAACTGGATGGAAGGTTTCAGGACAGTTTCTTCCTGTTGACCTTAATACCAGAGATTTTAAAAATGTGTGCAGACTTAGCATCTCTTTTGGCAAGTTTGTTAATATTACTAGCACACCGTGCACTTTGGTTCACCCAGGTGTGTGCCAGCCGACCACCCCAGAGCATTTTAAATGCAGGCTGCCTGGTCCTTAAAACAACCCACTATTCCCATTCCCAAGGTGATTGTCTTTTTCCTCATAAGTTATAGCAACCAGAGTTTACAGCAAGAACAGAGTATGCTGATAAGAAAGTTACGTCTAACTATGAACACCCATAAATTCTCATGGATGTGAATAAATAGCAAGCTCTTCCTGTTTGAGAAACATGGCATATGGAAGACTAGGTCAAGTGTTTCTCTTTTGAATAGTCCAGATTAAGAAAAAGCACCTTGTTGGGTTAAGTTTGCCTGTTGATTTGTTAATCAGATGGTATCAGAAAAGATCCCCAGACACTCCCCTGCCTCACAGGTGCTCTGATCTGGCTCAGGCTGGTGCCACACATGTGCCTGCACAGGGGTGCAGGCAATGGAAGCTGTCGCAAGCTCAAGGCAGAACAGAATGCTTGATCCCGAAGGCTTAGCAGCACTTTACGCAAGTTACTGTTAGTGGGGTAAGTGGGAACAATATCTCCAACTTTTGAATTCTTTAGATTTAATTGTATCATTTTCTAATTCTTGCCTTGGCAACACATTTTGGAGAATAGTGGGGGTGGCCATTATAAACTGGTGGAAAGGATTTAATTTTGCCAGCTTAATTTTTACTTTTCTAACCCTGATGTGTTTTCAGTTTCAAAATTAAGACAAAAACCCGGCTGAGACAATGGAGTTATGGCAGGTTTGTTTCATCTCTGCTTGTGAAGGATTTTAGTAGGGGGCATCCTGAAGCTAAGCTGTGCTTCTTACACAGATTGTTGCCTGCTTTCTGTCCTTCTGATTCTTGAGTGTGAGCATGAGGACCATGTTGCAGTTCTTGGGAATATACACATAACAGCTTTCAGATCATAGTTCTTGGTATTGGTAAAAAGGTCTCCACCAGCCCCTCTTCTCATTCCCAGGTCACTCAGTGGCAGCCAGTAGGCCGTTTAGACCCAGGTGGATAAGGAAGTCTTGGGCTCTGGTGAAACAGCCTTGCAGAAAATGTGATTTTGCTTGGAAAGGTGCTCATTATAACCTAGTCTTGCTCTTTAAGTCCCTTCGCTGGTGATGGCTGATTCTAGGAACCATTTTGGGTTTTGAACACTACTTTGTCGGTTTCTCAGATCCTCTTGGCCTTACATTGAAGTGGCCTTTTCTTTAAGGATCATGTCCACATAACCTGAATTCTTGATGCTTGAACTCATTTCAAGCCTTTGACTGCAGGTCCATTTCATCTCCTGTCAGGTTGGTTAAGGAAAGTCAGCCCAAAGTCAAGAATTAAAGAGATCCAAACCAAATATTTGGGCTCCATCTTTCACAGGGTTTATAACCCTTGTTAGCAGTCTGTGAAACCCTGGGTTTCATGAAGTAAGATGTGTCCTCTGGCTGCTGAACTCCACAGAGCCACATCATGCTCCCTCTTCTACTGGCCTGGCCACTCCTTCCTCAGTGAGGAGAGGCAGCTGGCTCAGAGAGGTGGAGCAGACACATGCTGCCATCTCTTAGTTAAGTGTGCTCTTTTCCAGAAGTATCTCAGATAATGTTGGGTTAAGACGGATAAATGCTGAAATTGGTGGAGATCATTACACATTAACATAAAACAGACAGGAAGAGATTTTTTGAAAGACCAAATTAGTTGAGCAAGTAATACTTTTCAAGTTACTCCTGAAAGGTGTTTTTAAGGAAGTATGTTACCTACCATACTCCCCAAATTTGACATTTCTGTGTGTGTCCTGCGAGGTTCCATTATTTGTCTAACCCTTGCCATAAGGCTGTTTGAGGTTCTTTTGCTTTTCTGGGCTTTATATTTAATTTCAGGTGTCAAGAGGGACTGATTTTTAGCTTGTCATTGTCAGTATTAAATGTGGACTCTTCTGAGGCAGTTAGGACACTAAGCCTGGTGGTAACCATGGATGCCTTGGGCTCCTTAATGTCACGGCAATATCCACGCTACACACATACTTAGCTGTCTTGTCTGGGGGATAGTTATGGCAAGGAGCAAAAAATTCTAAGGACACTAGCTGTTTCTAGGGCTTTTACTTTGATAGTCCTTTAAGGACATTTCCTGCAGAGCAGTCTTGCTCACAGCCCTCCCTCTGCAGGGCTTCCAGCCCCTGGCTGCAATTAGCAGTTGATACCACATCTGTGCATTCATGTTCTGGGACCTGATGTCATTGGAGTCCAGAAGTTTGTTGCAACTTTCCAGTGTAAATGACTTTACATGCAATGGGGTCATAAGTAACATTTTAATGCTTCTGTAAGTCCAAATCACGGAAAGTCTCATCATCTGACAGCCAGTCTTCTCCTAGGGAGGGTGGTGCCCATTGGGCCCTGGGAATGCCTCGGCCAGCAAAGCAGATGCCCCATGTGCTTCCTTTATCCAGCTTCCATTCTCTTGGTTATGCGGCTCTTTGAAAATGTCTTAACTTTGATGTAAATTTTAAAAGCCAACCCCTCATTGAGACAGGGTTGGTTTGGGTCTTCTGTATGCAGGGTGTGGACCCCCTCATTGTGTGCCTCCTGCCACCGTGCACTTCACATGTCCAGCCCTGGGTCCCTTCAGCAGCATTGTGCGTGTACAGGTTACTAGGCTGCAAGACTGAATGAATGTACATGTGTTTATATCCCCTCTATATGTACAGTGTATATAGTGTGTGTATGTGTACATAGATGTATATTATGTATACAGACATGTATCCAAACTCTGCTTATGTTTTAAAGAGAGTTTTTGATAAAGTTGCTAACGTAAACTGATGTGGGTGTTGCAAGGTCCCTCGGCAGGGAAGATTTGCTGGTGATTTCTTCACTCCATTTTCCTTTGGGTGAGCGTGCCTGGGAAGGGCCATGAAGTCAGAATCTCCATTCTGCACAAGGAAGAATTCCAGGCAGAAAAGATTCTGACAGGGTGACATTTCTTTATGTTTTTAGGTTCAGACAAGAGCCAGGAAGCTGGAAGACAGTTTATCTTAATATCTAAAACTAAATGGGAATTTTTTGTGCGCCTATTCATGGCCTACCTGGAAGGAGCTTGGCAGTTGAGTTGAGCCATCAGCCTTCCCGGCTACTCAGCTCTATTGAGCAGCCCAGAGACAGGCATTACGGTCAGAGATTCAGAACGCTCTGTGTAAGTGAGGCCTGACTCCCAAAGATGGTAGCAATGTCCCAGGCTTGCTCTGTGCTCATTCAGCAAGATTTAGGGTACTATCCTGTGAGTAAACAAATAGAAATTCCATCTCTCTATCGCCAATTAAAAATAGCCTACCAAATATTCTTTAAAATTAAGCATGGACATTGATGGCTAACCTTTGTGGCATATAAGCTACAAATCGCAAGTTACTTCTCTAACTGTAAGTATGTGAATGAAATCTACAAACTTAATTCCTTTCTGTAAATTATGATTTGAAATTTCCAGATAAAAATTACATTTTAATATGGATATGTGTGTCCTCAAAGCTACAGATACCAAATTTTCCTTGTCCAGGTCTATTCTGATGAATTTTACCCCTTAATCTGGCCTTAAACTGAGACTCGGTGAGACTCGGCCCTAGAGAGCCAGGGCCCAGCCCAGCAGTAGTTGCTCATGGACCTGGGAAGCAGGGGCCTGCTGGAAGGAATCACTGGATCACTGCAAAAACTCACATAATCCACAGGTTGCTCTTTTTCTTTTAAAAATAAGTTATTAAAATGTGTTTAAAACACTTTATGAGACCATAGTACTCAGTGCCTTTTGTGAGACAGTGGGTTATTTAGCCTTCAGCTTCCCTGTTTTTGATGTAGAGAAAGCTTCTGCTATTTCACTGGCTTCATCCCACAAGATTGTGCGACCTTTCCCTGTCATAGCCTGTCGTGACAATCACACTACTGAAAGTGGCTTTCTACTTAAAATGAAAATAGAAGCGTCACAGTCTCTAAATGAATTGAAATAAAAAATTTCCTTTGGGGCTGGCTATTTATCTTAACAGCAATCTAAAACCAAAATGTGAGCTTAGAAAAAGTATCCTTGTGGGGGAGAAAAATGTCAGATATTTTTAATGCCCAGCTGTACTTTCAGTTAAGAAGCCAATAATTTTGGTGTCTTAATATTTATACATGCAACATAGAAAAAAATGCTCAACATTTATTGATTGATCGACTGTTAAAGTTTAGTGTTTGGATAACATTTGGAAGTAGTAGACTTTACATTTAAAAAATGGCTTTTCTTTAGGAAAGTATAATCAATTATTTTAACAATTTTAACAACCATAGCATTCATGGACTCAAATGCTGCTGCCACACACAACTCAAGTGCTGGAATATTTTTCTACAGTCTCTCTGTTCTACAGATTATCTTGTAAACCAGTGTTCAACTAGTTTTATAACTGAAAAGCTGCACATTTTTCACAGTACAAGCCGTAGTTTTTACTTGTAGTTTGGACTTCTCTCTTAGAATGTAACTGCATTACCAGCCCTTTTAAAGGCATCTATCAAAGGAAAATTTGGGTGTTAGATTTTCTTGGGACCGTTTCTGTAACCTCTGCCCTTCACAATATAAAAAATATTGGTTATGCCATTACATTTTAATGCCAGGTTTAAAACCTGTTGAAAGCTGCAGCTTTATACAGCTTTCTTCTCCCTGTGAAATCACTTTGTTTATGTGATGGCATTTAAAAAATAGCATGTTCTTTTTAAACTGAATTTTATATCAAGTCAATGTCTTCAGTCTTGAAGAAGAATTTGCATTGTTGTGTTTGTATATAGAGTATTGCAGTGCATGAATTAGCTTTATGCATTTTATTAAATGCTGTTTCAATGTGGCATTATTGTTGTGGCTTAATACTACTACCTAAATGAGGTTTATACTATTAAAAGTGAATTAAAGACTAATGTGCATCCTGCTCCTCATTTCTCTTCATAATAGTGAACCCTGGCCCCAGACAATGCAGCACTCTCCTTTGTTGTGGAGATGAAGCATCCTGGTGGTCCTGTCTCTCTACAGCTCTCCAGCTCCTACCTTAGCCTTAGTGGCCAAGGAGGATTGGGCCCTCTGTGGTCCACTGGACTTATTAATGCCTTTAGCAGGAAACCCTTGGTCCATGATCCAACTGATCCTTCACTTTATAAACCTATTTACAAATTTTTTTTTAGACAGTCTTGCTCTGTCACCCACGTTGGACTGCAGTGGCGTGACTCGCTGCAACCTCCGCCTCCCAGGTCCAAGTGATTCTCCTGCCTCAACCTCCCAAGTAGTAGAGATGGGTTTCACTGTGTTAGCAGGATGGTCTCAATCTCCTGACCTCGTGATCCGCCCACCTCAGCCTCCTAAAGTGCTAGGATTACAGGCGTGAGCCAATGTGCCCAGCCTTACAATTTTTTTTCTTGAGTCAGTCTTGCTTTGTGGCCCAGGCTGGAGTGCAGTGGCACAACCATGACTCACTATAGCTTTGACCTCCCAGGCTCAAGAGATCCTCCCACCTCAGCCTCCCAAATAGCTGGGTCTACAGATGCATACCACCGCACCCACCCAGCTAACTTTTGTATTTTTTGTAGGGACACGGTCTTGCCACATTGCCCAGGCTGGTTTTAAACTCCTGGACTCAAATGATCTGCCCACATCAGCCTCCCAAAGTGCTGGAATTACAGGCATGAACCACCACACCCAGCCTAGCTACATCTGTTCTTAAGGTGACCCTAGAGGGCTCTGCTGTCTTCTGGAGGCTGAAACCTCCATCTTAGTAGCATAACTAAAGTGATAGTAACATCAGTGTCTTATGAGGAAAGAACTAGGAAGGCACTCAGTAATGCCTCACTCCCTCCTCCAGAGCTTGATGTAAGCAGGGCCTGAGGAAGCCAGCAGAGCCGGGCAGTCAGCTGCAGGCACCATAACCCAGCAAGGACCCAAAGTCTCTACCAGGTGGTGTCTCCTTTCCTCCGTGGCCTACAAACCTCCCTGCTAATACACACAGTGGCTGGGCCACCGGCTGGTAGTGGCTGACTGGCCAGTGAGCGTGTGCCTGAGTAAGGCTGGCCTGTCTCAGCCATCCCTGGCCCATGGCTAGGCCCCCCAGCAGGCAAGAGTCATCAACTTTAAAAAACAGCACAAGGGTTGCCTTTGGATTTCTGAAAAATACCCCAAGGACCTGAATGGAGAGGCATCCACACTGCCAACCACAGACAGCGCTAGCCAGACTCAACCATAGCAGCCCTTACGTTCTCCAGGGTGGGGCCCAGAGAAGATTCAAGGTCAGCAAAGACCAGTGAAGGGTTGCAGGACCAAAACAGGTGTTAACAGGCTGGGGCCCTAACCTCCCAGGCCCAAAGCCTTTCCACTACGTAGGCCTTCCTCTTGCCTAGGACCAGATACACACCAAGCTGCTGTTAGGAAGCACTTTATTGACCAGTGGAGCATGGATATTCACTTAGCAGCTCAGCTGCAGACCCTCCTCTCCCCATGTTCTTTTACACAAGTGTGTAAAGGGGACCTTTTATTGCAAAAAGGATTTCCAAAGTCTCCAGGGACAGAACCACAGGCTTCCCTGGACCAAAGTAACCCCATTCCAATCTCCCCATTGGTCAGACACCATCACCCAAACCCACAGTGACCATGGGCCTTAGTCCTGGGCATTGCCTTTCAGAGCAGCTTTGTACTTCCCTGTCATCTCCTTGGGTAATGGCACCAGGCTGGGGCAGGGCACCTGCCCTTCCACTTCACAGATGCACTCCCGCAGGCAGTACTTTCGAGGGCCAAAGTTGGCTGGATGAGAGAGCTGCTTTTTCTCCTCCTCCTCTTCCCTGAGAGTTTCCCTGCCAAAGAGCACAGATGTCAACCAAGCACTGGTGACTCAGCACCAGGCACAGGGGCCGTTTCTCAGCCAAGACAGCCCCACCATCCTCCAGGGACACCTGGATCTCCTGCCTTCTAACCTGCTCCTCACTCCCAAAGCCTATCCCTCCCTCCCTGCTGGCCCCTGAGGAGAGTGCAGGAAGGCCTGCTGTTTGTTGTCCCCTCAGACCACAGGAGCAAGCCTACACAGTGTAGTCAGCCTATCTGCTGCCACACGGGGGGCCCACAGCTCTGACGAACAATCACAGGATAAAGAAGCCTGAAAAGGCCTCTGTGCAGTTTCTCAAAGACAGACTTTTTGGCTTCCCTCTCTTTCTGTCTCTTCTCATTCATGGAAAGAAAGATCTGTCACCAGGAGCCCTGGGGCTAGCTATCTGCTAGCTCCAAGCTGAAGTTCCCAGAAGGGTTAGCAGCTGTGTTTCAGCTTCCTGTCCCCATAGGAGGGAGAGAGGTACTTCTCACCCTGTACAGCCAAGGAGATAAAGCTTACAAACGTTTAGTGATTTGGTGAGCAGCCCCAGCTCTTGTTAGTGTCTGGGGTTCACTGTTAGAGAATCTTACCTCTCAACACCCTTCCCACCTTTTCTTTCTCAAACACTCTGGGCTGAGAAGTTTGCTCCTTCCAGGTCAAACCAAACAACTCACTCAGTTTTCCCCAAGATTTTTCTGATGTGCTCCATGATCTCCTTATTGCTTTTGGTCTCCACATCCACCAGGACCTGCTCCCCAGAATCTGGAAACAAAAAACACAGGGCAGAAAAGAAGCAGAACTCACAGCACACTGGGACTCAAAAACTTGTAATGTGGGACTTGCTTTTAGTGGCAGAAACATTTTAATAAAATAGATATATTTGTTTATATGATCCATAAACCCACCCTTCCTTTTTCCATATTTCTTTAGACCTGAGCAAACTTTAGATATGTAAAAAAAAAGCATGCTGTTTTAATAGAAAGACATTCCATGTTCATAGATAGAAAGACCCAATATTCTTAAGATGGCAATTCTCCCCAAACTGATGTACATAGATTCAATCAATCCAATCCCTACCAAAATCCCAGGAGGTGTTTTTGTAGAAATTTAGAGGTTAAGCCTACAATTCATACAGAAATGCAAACGACCCAAAAGAACCATAAAAATTCTGAAAAATGAGAAAATGGGAGAATATTTACTTTCCAATTTCAAATTTACAAAAAATTAAAATTACTATAATCAAGACAGTGTGGTACTAGTTTAGGAATAGACATACACTGTAATGGAATAAAACTGAGTCCAGAAATAAACCCTTATTTGTAAGCCCAACTGCTTTTCAGCAAAGATACCAAGATGATTCAATGAAGAAAGATAATCTTTTCAACAAATGCTGCTGGGACAACCATCTATATGCTAACAAGTTAATTTAAACCTTTACCCTGCAATGTTAAAATTTTACAAATTAAAACTCAAAATGGGTCCAAGACCTAAATGTAAGCACTCAAACTTTTATAAAACTTCTAGAAGAGAACATGGGAGAAAACTGTCATGACCTTACCTAGGCAAATGTATTTTAGAGATGACATTAACAACATAATCCATAAGAGAAAAAAATTCTATAAAGTGAAAATCAAAAACTTTTGCAGTTCAGAAGACACCATAACCCACAGTCTGGAAGAAAATATTTATAATGCATATATCTGATAAATGACTTGTATGCAGAATATATCAAAAACTCTCACAATGCAATATGACAATCCAACTAATAAAATGGGCAAAGTGTCTGAATGTATTAGTCCATTCTCGCATTGCTATAAAGAAATAACCTGAGGCTGGGTAATTTATAGAGAAAAGAGGCTTAATTGGCTCATGGTTCTGCAGGCTGTACAGGAAGCGCAGCAGCTTCTGCTTCTGGGGAGGCCTCAGGAAGCTTCCAATCATGGCAGAAGGCAAAGGGGGAGCAAGGAGTCGCACACGGTGGGATCAGGAGCGAGAGAGAGAAGGGAAGGGTACCACACTTTTTAACAGCCAGATCTCAAGAGAACTCACTATCACAACCACAGTACCAAAGAGGATGGTGCTAAGCCATTCATGAGAAACCGCCCCCATGGTGACTAGACCAGGCCCACCAAACCCTACCTCAACATTGGGAATTACAACTGAACATGAGACTTGAGTGGGGACACAGATCCAAACTATATCACTGAATAAACATTTAACTAAAATTTTTAACAGGGTGAATAATAAGCACATTAAATGAGATCTCAATGAGTCACTAGGAAAACACATATTCAAACCACAACGAGATATGCAAATGGCCAAAATTTTAAAAGCACAGACAATACCAAGTGCTAATGAGGATTCAGGGTAACTGAGACTCTCATACTTGCTGGTAGAAATGCAAACTATTACTGCCACTTTAGCCAGTGAGATAAGACAAAATAAAGATTGGAAAAGAAGTACAACTGTCTTTATTTGCAGATATTATTACAGTGCCTGTAGAAAATCCTGAGGAATCTAGAAAATAAAAACTAATGGAAATAAGTGAATTTAGGACACAATGCACCTGCACTCAGCCTTGGCAACAGTGAGACCGCATCTTGAAAAAAAGAAAACAGATCCAAGATGGCTGTCTAGCAGCAGCTCAGGGTTGCAGCTCCCAGTGAAGACACAGGGAGTGAGTGGACACCAGACTTCAGACGAATTTTTGTTGCTTACAGAGCAGGAGATTCCCAGCGGAGGAGCCCCACGGGTCGCCATCACGACTCTTTTGGCCAGCATGGCTGTTTTGCTGGCGTCCCAGTGCAGTGGTTCTCAGTGCAGAGTATGTGGGACTGGGTGCCCTTTTAGTTGGCGTTTGGAGCTCCGAGAAGGCAGAGTCACCCATTCAGCTGATTGAGAGGGGACTGAAGCCAGGAGCCAGACCAGGAGATTCCCAGGCAGAAAAGCGCCATGAATCTCAGTGCCACTATTTCAGCCAGCGCGGTCGCCACACGGGAAATTGCATAGATCCCGGCACCTTTTCAGCGGGCAACTGGGGCACCTGGGAGAGAATCGACCATTCAATTAGGA